TATATCCACTTTGCCAAACTTCAAAAATATGGAGTGAAAACAAACAAAATATAAAAACGGCGGGAATATATGTTACAACCCAATAGATGAACTACGAGGTAAACTTTGTTTCTCCAGATGATGTTTCAGAGGCACCTCAGAATTTCAAAGAGCAACATCTTTTTTTCCTTCATCTGGTATTAGAACAAAACAGCTGATAGAAGTCAATCCCGACTCTATCCATTTATCGCAGATTACCTCCACGAAGTGGTCCACCATGCGGTTATTGAAATCTTCACCACCCAGGTGAGTATTACCACCGGTGGACTTCACTTCGAAGTTCTTATTTTTAATTAGAAGGATTGAGACATCAAATGTGCCACCACCAACATCAAAGATGAGAACATTGCTTCCTGATCTAACTTTATTGTTCAGACCATAAGCAATGGCAGCGGCAGTGGGCTCGTTCATAATGTGTAGGACGTTCAAGCCCGCAATTCTGCCCGCATCTTTGGTAGCCTGTCGCTGAGAGTTATTGAAGTAGGCAGGCACTGTCACGACAGCATCCGTCACTGTTTTCCCTAGATATTCCTCGGCGGTCTCCTTCATCTTTGTTAGCACCATAGAGCTTATCTCCTCAGGGGAGAAAGTTTTCATCTCCCCCTTATATGAAACCTAGAAAAATAATTTACACCGAGTTTTACCCATCCTGGTCCAGACACTGACATGCAGAATGCCCCTTGATAAAAAAAAATGGAGACCTACTTGAATCTTGGGTTTCCCATTATCATTGACGACGGTGAAGGGCCAATGTTTCATGTCACTCAGTACTGAAGCGTCATCAAACTTCCGTCCAATAAGGCGCTTGGCATCTGAAAATATGCAGTTATATACATACTAGTGTACATACGAGTACCTGCAGTAGTGACTCCAGAAAGTCTCACTTTTTTGCGCGTTCAGTAGATAACTCCTCATAATAGTTCAAAATTCTCCCCTTTTTTCTGGCATTTTGAGAACAATACCAGCATTCAAAATTATAATATACAGCACTAACCAAATGCTGCAGACATACGTGAAACACTGTTGCAAACCAGCGACGGGACTGACGAGCAACGAAACAAAGGCACATAAAGATCATTGTCCGCATTTGCCACAGCAACAACATCCATAGCCGATAATGCTTCGTAGTCTCATTGTTGGTTGTGAGCACTTCGCCCGAGAAGGCATTCAATACAATGCTATTCTTATCGTCGAAATTTGGCCTTATTACATGAAAATGGAAATATATTTTTGACTATTGATCCAAGAAGAACTGTCTCCAGGTTATCAGCTTTCTATTGATATCTCACTTATGGAATTCCGTTCATCCGTCTAGAAGGAGTTTCCCCAGAAAGACGCCCTGACATGGACAGATTAGGCGCCTATGTATTATGTATATGTACAGGGTGGTCACAATGTCTTGTTACCCCCTGTTGAATTTTATGCTAATTATAATTTTTCTTGTCCTTTCAGATTGAGCTGTACAATTATGGGTGATACAAGTAATTATACCATAGAAGAGCGGGTGGTTGCTAGCGTTTGGATTCACGAGAGCTCTGACACAAACAAGACGTTAGCAGAAGTGCGCTTTGAATTCCAGCAACAATTCGGAAAAGTAGCTCCTCCCAAGTAGACACTTCTTCGTTGGGAATGTAAGCTATTCGTCACAGGAAGTATCAAAGATAAGCCAAGAACTGGGAGAACACTGAGCAGGCAGCGAAGGAGTGAGGAAGTGCAGGAATCCATTGTTACAGGGTGACTCAAAAGTCCTTGGACACCTTTAATAGTGTGTAGCATTCTCTGATGAAGACCAATTTAATTTCTGATTTGACCAGTGGAAAGACCACAAAAAACTAAACCAACCATGTTTTTATGTTTCAAAAATATCACCATTTGAGACAATAACCTGCTTCAGACGTTTTGGGAAATCATTTACGGTTCTTCACAACTGATCAATCGACAATTCATTCCATTCCTTCAGCAGATCAAGCTTCAAGCTATTGATACTCTTGTGTGGCTTGCAGCAGACCTTGGCCTGCAAGTAGGACCACACACTGTAATCCAATGGATTCAAATCAGGTCTACAAGCAGGCCATTCTTCTGGGGAAATCAAGTCTGGAAAGTGAGTTCTGCAGAAGTCGATGGTGGATTTTGCCTTGTGANAGGCCATTCTTCTGGGGAAATCAAGTCTGGAAAGTGAGTTCTGCAGAAGTCGATGGTGGATTTTGCCTTGTGAGCTGGTGCTGAGTCCTGCTGGAATGTCCAAGGCTGGGATTTGAAATGTTCCTGAGTCCAGGGGAGTAGCACCTTCTTCAACGCACTCTTGTTAGTAGCTGGCATTGATCTTTGCCTGAGGCTGCACAAAATGCAGGGGAGTTTTGCCAGAAGCACAAACACCACCCCACACCATCACACTGCCTGGTTTTTGAACTCGATGGACATATCGCTGGTGAGACTTGAAAGAGGAAAGCTTTTTACCCCAGAGGCGATTGTTTTGGGGGTTGTAAGCTTGCTCTACAGTGAAAATTTGTTTATCAGAAAAAAACAATCCTTTGGAGTGAGGACTGGTTAAACCGTTTGAGCAACTGGCGGGACCTTTGAACTTGTTTCTTCTTGTTGATCTCTGTAAGCAGCTGCATCTTTTGTTTTTTAAAAGGCTTCATGCAGAGCTTTTCTCTGATGTATCTTCGCAAGATCTCTTTGTCCACTCTCAAGGTTTGCGCAAGCTTTCTTCCAGAAGAATTTCTGGATTTCGGTATAGCATTTGCCTGACTCGTTTCTGGAGCTTCTTATCCAGGAACACGGAAGGACGTCCACTTCTTTGGCGATCTGCTGTTGATCCAAGCTCATTGTATCGCCGAATAATGCTGTTATAATAATGCTGTAGGTCGAGGGGTTTCGGTGAGCTTTCAGATCCTGCTTGCTGGAAGACCACTCTGGTTTTGAAAAATCACTGCTTCTCTTTGATGTTTGGGAACCATATCAAGAGCTTCCGACCTGGAACTTGGAAGGCAAATAGATCTGTAGTAGATGTTGCTTCACTCAAAAAATCACCTATCACTTGTCCAACGGTTTTTTCAATGGGTGTCCAAGGACTTTTAAGTCACCCTGTAGTAGGAAGTCATCGGGGGGCTAAAGATTTATGACACACTTCAATGTTGTCAGATAAAGGACAGCACCTTTCATTCAGCTGAGAGAGATCCATTGGGACCCCACTTCACCCGATTGAACGAAAAAAAAGTCAGCAACTCTGATTTTTAAGGAAAATCCCTCCATTAACCATGTCTCAGGTGAGGAGCATAAGTGATATTTAATGACCGAGGCTCTCCCTTGACATGTCACATCGAAGCCGCAAGTGTATATTTTGAAGTCGAATAGAATATATTTGATGCATGCACGGCTCTCAAGGTCAGAAAATTGCAAGTTTTCCCAGTGGCTTTTACATGAGTCACTCTCAGAGGTCACATCTACGAGATATATTGTTTAATGTTTAATTTAAGAAATGTTTAAAATTTAGTCATTAGTACCAAACGCACATTAAAGAATGGGCTTTCAAATGCTATTACTAATATTTTCCCCAGGTAAGGGGGAAGTTACAAAGTTACAAAGGTGTTCCTGGAACTTATTGACTCCCCCTCCCTAAGTAGCAAGATATTCCAGCAACGTTTTGGAAATGTTGATGAGCAATGTTGCATCTGTGTAAATGTCCAAAACGTCAACGTTGCTCCAACATTGCAAAGGAACATTGCATTGACGTTGCAAATAGTTACTTATTCATTGCATATACGTTGCAGTAATGTTTCTGGATTTATGCTGCAATGTTGATTAAAAAGTTGTTTCACGGGCACCTAATCTGGGCCTATATTGGCATTACAGAAAAGCATTGACTTCACTGGCCCTGAACTGGACCGATATTCGACCAATATTGAATAATTTCATTCATCATTTCATACCATTTACTTTACCTCTCTACTCAGACATTCCCATCAGCATGACGAAGCCTGTACTGGTATTACACCTACCCATGCATAATACAGTATCTGTATCATGTGCAGGCAAATAGTACATTTTTGGAGGTGATCATCCCATGGATGTGCTAAATATGGCACATTACAGGAAAAGGTCCAACCACAATGTTCCATGGAGTGCCCACGAAGTCAGTCCTTCTGTTCCTCTTCTAATTCTCAGAATGAGGATATTTATGATAGAGATCAGAGACATCGCTTTTATTGTCCTGTAGGATGAAACCGACGAGTTCTTGGAAAGGGTTCTTTTTGGGAATAGAGCTTTTTTTTATCTTGACCCCTTGAATCTGTCTGGAATATGAGGATAGCAAGTGATGAAGTGTCCATGTTCATCGATTCCTGTAATGAGACAATGCATTTCATGTGTCAAGGTACTAAACATTCCTGTGCGGGACGATTCCAAGGAAAGAGAGAAGGGCACTTTTGTGTACTGCTTGAAAATCGAGACCTACGCCTCCATCTCGTGGCAAGGACAACTTTACAATTCCCTAAAACTTCCAATTCCATGTATCAATGTTGTCGATACGTTGTCGATGTCGAGTGTCGTAATTCTCTAAATGTTGACAGCAAATGTTGCTATGACATTCGTAGAAGTGTCACGGTCCAAGTGAAAAAATTGAAGCAATGTTTTATCAATGTTGTTCGTCAACTTGCCTATGTTGCATGTTGTTCGTCAACTTGCAACATAGGCAACATTTCGGAAACGTTTAATCAACATAGTGTGTTACTTGGGTCGTATCCCACAACGTTGGGCCCACATTGGCTGCGAGTGGGAAAAAGGGGGCCAACATCGCAGTGGGCTGCTCGTGTTGGCTCCACATTAGCGCTAGGGCGGCAGCCAACATTTGTCGTAAGTCAGGATGCGACATCTATAGCCAGCCCTGCATGTGCGAACACCCTGGCTCCTTCCTCTACAGACTAATTCTCTGCACATCGGGGCATTAGTTCACAGTTTATAAAGTTGTATGAAGTTCCTTCCGCTGGTAAACTTAGTCCCAACCTGGAACAAATTATTATCCGGAGAACTCAGTATTTTCTTAAAGACCTATTCCGTTGGCGGAGGTGTACAGGCACGTCCGCCGTTTATTTTCTTGACTCTTTGGTTTGAGAAGGACCAATATATTTTTGACATTTACGCCGGATTGATTGGTATTCTTTGGGTGAAACAAAGGTGGAGCTATCGGCGTCTTCACTGTTGTACATAGCACAGAGGCGAGTCTTAGTAATCCGGAGAACGAGGTCTAACGTCACCAACTCGGTAGTCGCCACTACATCGCACGTTATACGATCAAGCTTCTAGCTATTGATACTCTTGTGTAGCTTGCAGCAGACCTTGGCCTGCAAGTAGGACCACACACTGTAATCCAATGGATTCAAATCAGGACTACTAGCAGGCCATTCTTCTGAGGAAAGCAAGTCTGGAAAGTGAGTTCTGCAGAAGTCAATGGTGGATTTTGCCTTGTGAGCTGGTGCTGAGTCCTGCTGGAATGTCCAAGGCTGGGATTTGAAATGTTGCTGAGTCCAGGGGAGTAGCACCTTCTTCAACACCCTCTTGATAATAGCTGGCATTGTTCTTGGCCTGAGGCTGCACAAAATGCAAGGGAGTTTTGCCAGAAGCACAGTCACCACCCCACACCATCACACTAACTGGTTTTTGAACTCGATGGACATATCGCTGGTGAGACTAGAAAGAGGAAAGCTTTTTGCCCTAGAGGCGATTGTTTTGGGGGTTGTAAGCACTACAGTGAAAATATTTTTGTCAGAAAAAAGAATCCTTTGGAGTGAGGACTGGTTAAACCGTTTGAGCAACTGGCGGGACCTTTGAACTTGTTTCTTCTTGTTGATCTCTGTAAGCAGCTGCATCAGTTGTTTTTTAAAAGGCTTTATGCAGAGCTTTCCCCTGATGTATCTTCGCAAGGTCTCTTTGTCCACATTCAAGGTTTGCGCAAGCTTTCTTCCAGAATGCTCTGAATTTCGGTGTAGCATTTGCCTGACTCGTTTCTGGAGCTTCTTATCCTGGAACACGGAAGGACGTCCACATATTTGGCGATCTGCTGCTGATCCAAGCTCATTGTATCGCCGAATAATGCTGTAGATAGTAGATCGAGGGGTTTTGGTGAGCTTTCAGATCCTGCTTGCTGGAAGACCAATCTGGTTTTGAAATATCACTGCTTCTCTTTGATGTTTGGGAACCATATCGAGAGCTTTCGACCTGAAACTTGGAAGGCAAATAGATCTGTAGTAGATGTTGCTTCACTCAAAAAATTACCTGGCTATCACTTGTCCAACGGTTTTTTCAATAGGTGTCCAAGGACTTTTGAGTCACCCTGTAGGTGTTTGATTTCACCCTTGCGATGATGGTGCCATCCTTGAAGACTTGGTCTATGGGAGAGTGTTTTTTGATGCCTCTGTTGTGAAAGACAATCTCATTGGACCTATCTGGATTGAGGATGAGAACATTCACTTCAGATAGCGAGGAGAGGTGATTCATTTCTTTCAGGTGCATTTCGTGGCCTGTTTCACTTCCGACGATGGATAAAAGATTCCTCGGTGAGGAATACCATTATCAGCGTCAGCAGCGTAGCCAGGATTTAATCATAGAGGGACTTGGGAGAGCAGAGGGGGGAGAAACATTCCTGGCGAGAAAGACTCAACTCCTGCTTCTACAATCATAGAAGATGCACTTGCTGTATGTGCACTTCGAACGGTGCAAACCTCCTCCCAGTCCGACCCGAATATCCTCCCTTGAGTTGCGCCCTTATTTCGGGCTCTTCCTGACTTGCCAAGCATTCATTTAGGCCAGGGGTGTCAAACATACGGCCCGCGGAGGTGGTTCATCCGGCCCGCCGCCTGTTCTTGAAATTTCCGCTTGTATTGACTGATAGCACAAATTTCGGTGAAAAAGTATTGGTGCGGCCCGCAGGCATCTGCAGGATAAGGAATGCGGCCCGCCGACCGATTTGAGTTTGACACCCCTGATTTAGGCCAGAGTTGAGGGGGTTCAGCTTCTTCTCACTACGCCTCTGATAAGCGTAAGAGGTAATAAAGAGGTATTACAATTTTTTTCGAAGATGACTTCATGACTTGAGCGAAAAATAATAAAAAAGTGCCATTAGGCTTAGGGATTCCATATAATAAAATTTCAGTTTCAAGTCACTGATGAGATAACGGGATTTTCCGCTGATGCCCCTGAGTCTTAACTCAGGAGCACCAGCGGTAAACCTATTTTAACCTTCCATAAATATTATTGTCCTACCAGCCAGCCTCTTTGCTGAAAACACGGTTCTGCCGTCTTTGGTATCTCCTTCAGGAACTTACCGCACATTAGAATTTGCCTCCTACAATTCCATTGAACACAATTCCACTTTTGGTTTCAGTATTTTTTTTTACATAAAAAAATATTGAGAAGAGATTCGTGATGAAATCGGTGCAATAGGGAGAACCTTGATGGTATTCGCAAGTTAACACTCCCATGCCTGTACAAACACGTTATTTCTGACGAAAAAAAAAACTCATCCACATACGCTCGTACAAATTTTTTTTTTCATTTTTAAATTCGCAGGAAAACTGTCCATGGCATCTATCGACAAGGATATACCCAGTTTAAAATGCCAACTGGAAACTTCCAACTGGACCAAAGCTGTAAATTCGGATCGTTTCCAGCTGGGAAAGAGCTGGAAAACAGTAGATACAGGTTGTTTTACAGCTGGAATTTTCCAACTGGTATGAAGCTGGTTTTAATAGCTGTTCCCAGCTGGAAATTTCCAGTTAGAATTTTATACAGAGAACCCTCCAGCTGAAATTCAGCTGTTTCAGTCGATGCACCTCCGGCAAGAATAGCCAACAAAAACATTCTCCTTCCGTCAGTGATATTGGAACTAGGAACCAATCTGGATCTGACTTTACTTTCCAGCTGTTACGCAGTTGGAGTGGGTCCGAGTTTACGGCTTGTGTTAAATTATATAACTATAATTTACGAAAAATTATTGCCGTTTCCAGCCGGGATTTTAAGCTGGATATACAGAGTATACATAACTATGAACTGCAATCTCCAGTGAATATTTAAAGAAGCGGCTAAAATGGTCGGGTACAGTATAGTGGCAATTTAAAATCTTAGGGAAGTGTTGAAGCTTGCATCAGAGGTAACGTTAATATAAATGCAGAAAACGTGAAGAGGCGTTCTAGCTGAAGTGAAAGAGGTGGTTGCACCTCTCATGAAAAATCCCAGACTTAATCGCTTTACCTCAACCTGTTCTTGAGATACGCTGCCTCAAAGTTCGCTTACCATGGGAAAAGTAACCCTAGGGGTCAGACAGCTACCTTTGGCCCAGTTGAGCTCTGAAAGCATTTTTGGACTCAAAGTAGAGCTGTGATAGAGCTAAAGCAAACTTCTGCTTCCAACTTTTCTTTATATCAGGTTGTAAAGGTGAAATTTAGACATTTTCCAGAAAACAATTTATTGACAATTAACTCAACAACGACTAGAGTGCAGTCTTGCGTCAATGTATCTGTTGTAGGTTCACGATAAGCACTCACGCTCACAATGCCCACTGGTCACTCTACTTATACACCTACATAGAAAGTTCTAACATTTTCCAGATTTTTCTAGAAAAAATCGAAATGTCTAAATTTCACCTTTACAACCTGATATACAGTATATTTTGAAAATGTTAAAGATTGTGAAAAGTCACAGTATATCAGGAACTACAAGAGTGACAAATATTGACACAAGGAGCTCTTGAGGCATTGCAATATTAGTTGATAGCACTGTAAAAATCTCGATTGTAACTAGCCACTTCGTTTCAAACAGTTACAGTAAAAGTTTTCCAGATATAAATAACTTAAACACTTATATCTCCTACTTAACACAAGTTACAATCCTGAAACTAGTGTCAGATCTAAACTTTCCTCAAGCTCTTTCAATTGATATGTGATTCATGCCAGTTGAATTTTGAAACCCATGTAAAGTACCAGTGAACATGCCCTTTCTTGTTTTGGAAAATTTCCCCCAATGGGAATGCTGATACATAATGAGTCCTTCATATATATCAATCATGATAAATAGTATCAATTCCATTTTTATTTTGCTTAAAACACCAACCAATTATTTATAAGATTTAAACGTCATAATCCATATTATTTCAATCCCCCTGCTTGAGACATGCTACACACTTGGAAGAAACGCCGATGAGAGCTGTTTTTTTTTTAATACTGGAGAGAGAGGACATTCTAATAATTTCTTCAAGTTCAGTATTTAGTGCCATAGAGAGTAGTCATTTGAAAAAATGACTGCAAGTGCTCATATTTTTGTGGCTTTTGGAGAGAAAATAGGGAAGGCCAAAGAGTAGTTCATGGTTATTTAGGTAATCTACCAAGGAGAAATCCAAAAACAAGAGATCAAGATCCAAACTCTTGTTTATCTCAAGAAGAGTGTTCTATCGATTGGCATGCATATTATTTTCACCTGAGGCTGAATCTGCAATTAACATTCCACAACAATAAAGCATGAGGCTACTTGACCCTCAAGCTAGTCTCATTGAGAGAAATTGCAAGGAAAGCAAAGGCATTTTAGGAATTCAACACATATTTCATTTCCAAGAGTGACCATGGTGGTTTTAACAGCCACAGACAGAGGATGGAAAGTAGCTCACAAGCATGTAAATAAATAAAACAGAATTTCTTCATCATGGAATCAATTTCTCTGACATGGTCATACATCAGTTGTCCCCCAGAAGATGGCCTCTACCCCAGTTGTACCGACCCTGGTTTGGGGCATCCCTCCGGCTAGGAGCAGTTGGAGCTTGACCAAAGCCACTGACGCCACCATGCCTATTAGGTAGGTAGTTGTATCTATGGGAAGTAAAACACTATCTTTGGAACAGACCTTTTGGGAAGTAACTCTGCAATAGAGAGTTGACAAGAAAAAATTAATCTCACAGGAATTGGGGAGTGCTGATCAAAGAGACACCCCCAAAGTCTTGAGGATATTTGAAGGCCAAAAAGAAGTAAAGGTGGCCAATGAGAATTCCCATCAACTCCATCACACCTCTGAAAAAAAAGTAATAAAGCAATTAGGATTCTCATAAGGAGCTTTAATCATAATCACTACCCTGTACAAGTTGAGAGTAGAACTCACCCTCCAGAGACAATCATGTTGAAAGCCAAAAGGACCCAGGGGAGATACATGGCTTTGAATTGAGTCCCAAACCAAAAGGCAACTATCATATCTTTGTTCAGCTGACACCAGATGTAAAGTGTCGCTAACACCAAAATGTCCATCAATATCTGAGTGAACAAAAAGGCAAAACTCCAGTGTTCCTCCAGACTCAAGAATATAAGTAACATTTACAAGGTTTAAATACATATCATTGATTCATTACATAGCAAGGGGAGATGCCTTATGATTTTACTTTTGTATGATTCATTAATATTCTAAGTGTGACAAAAATCTGTTAGCATCAATAAAGGAACCAAAAGTGAGGGCATGATTGCAGTTGCTTTCTTCCTTTTGGCTCAGAATGGAAGCCATCTGATGAAACGATCTATTCATAGCAGTAATTGCTCCTCTCGACAAAGACCAATTCAATCATATGAGAATGACTGGTCTTGCACTCATGCATATGCACAGGAATGCATAATCCAAGTCCATGGCCCTCATGCACCTTGCAGGGAAAACCATGCAATTAGACTTCAAAATCATATTATATCTCTCTCCTTGTTGATGAGATATGAGTTTTTATGTAGTAGTTAGAGCAGTGGTTTTCCTTTCCTAGATGAATAACTTTCCTATCATCTCCAAACTCCTCACTACACACCATGACTGTTATCATGGGTTGAGTCAGACAGGGACAATACATTCAGGTATCCCTCCCTTGCTATTTAAAGAACATGATTTATACAGGGTGTCTCAGATAGATATGCCTTTTCTCTCAAGGAAACATGCTATGGGGAAGAAATGCATTATACAGTATTTGATGAAGGGGCCTATGTCCTCAATGGCAATGCAATCTGGGGTGCTCCAAAGCCATTCATTGTAAACTGTCCATTTTCAGGTCTCTCTAAAGCTTATGATATAATAAAGCCTTGAAACCAGGGGGCTTTGTCATGGAGGAAACATAACATCTGACACTGGGACAGCAACAATTTTAACATTCTCTTCATCTGCCAAAAATGATGCATTCAGAACATCTTCCCAGAAATATGAGGCATCCCACAGCTGATCTTTGATTACTTAGGCCATTTGCATAGCTGCAAAGCAAATGAACAAGGCAAACACATTCAGGTAGTATAGAAGATTATTAATAGCATTCAACATCTAAAATTTCCTCACAGCTTCTTGATCAAACATGGTTATTCTGACATGAGTGATTCTAAGTCAAAGTTAAAATTCATCTCATGAGGCAAGATGAGTCAAGTCTGCTTCATCCCACTATGACAACAAAAAGTCAAACCCAACTTTCAAATTTAATGCTGATTTTATAGGCTTCTTGACGGCATGAAAAGGGCAGCATCCATGTTTCTGGAGTTCCCAATGAACAGAAGTATGATGGTGTTTCTTCTCCCATTCTCTTTCCAAGAGACAAATAAAATTACACTTTTTTTCTGCTATCCAATTAATGCTATGATGATTTTCTTTATTAAATCCTATAAAAGACTGATCTCTATCCTTCATATCTTGTTTCCACTCATTTCATACTCACTGGAGCCAATATTCCAAATTTTCTTAACATGTCTTACATCTGTTGAGCTTTTCAGCAACCTAAGATTGTGAAATGAAATTTGCACCTACATTGTGACCATCCTGATCACTTTGACCAATCAATATATCTTGTTTATTTATTATCATAAGATATCTGAAAGGAAACAAATGCTGCATTAGAAAAGGCATTGAATAAGGATTGGATATCAGGGTGATTAAAAAATAAAGAGAACATCTTTCCAAAGGAAATTTCTTAAGAGATCATAAAAACTTACTCTCGTATAAATTGTATAAATGAACCTGCATCTCTTTTTGTGTTGGAACATCATTTGCAAAAACCATTTGATTGAGTCAAAGATGTAGCCAACAGTGCAAATGGTGTCATGTCAGTCAGATGATCAAGGTCTTGAGTACTAGAGATGAGGGGGTGGTGCAGTGTGATTGCTGCAATGAAAACTCTTCCAAACCAGTCAACATATATGCACAAAATGTTCTGCTGGGTTCAGTTAATTAGATAATAATTATGAAAACTGACTTCTCAAATTGCAAGTGAGAGCCTACCAAAACAATGTAAATTCAAAGGAAGAGCTATGCTACCTGTAGAGGCCTTGGCCACACTCTCTCTACTGATTTCACACCAGTCATTGGCTGTATCTTTCAATCAATATCTGATTCTTTGTTGGTCTTGAAAAAATATCCTTTAAAAATATATTCTAATTCTTGTCTACTGTTTGTCACCCTGTAGTTTTCTCTGGAGAGGGGGAGTGTATTCATCTGAGACACCATGTCAACAAGATTGGATCAATTCCATGCATGAGAGAAAAAAAATTCAGTAATACATCTTTTCACCAAATGGTGAAAATAACACTTAAATACTACTCAAGGAAGGCCAAGAGGATGAAACAAAAAGTTATAAGAATGAATGGAGCATTTATTCCACCAAAAAAGGGGTGCATGTCTGTTCTATTCCATAGTAGGAGAAGGTAGGGCACCATGGGTCACAAGGTACTATGGGTCAGGTTGTTTATAGCTCTCTCAGCTCTGTTTTTCTTCATGTTGTCTGCTGGGTATCTTCCAGTTAAGGTGCCAGGAAAGTGTAGTTGGAAAAAGAGTATTCCCCACCCAAATTGCAAATAGTGCAGATGTTTTGCTGCGGGAGACACTTTCTTTGTTTTAGACAGTGACATCTCGATTTTTGCTGTTCGCTTCTTTTGATAAAAAAGTATTGATTCTGACTGGATTTGGGAAATCAGTAGTTCAATGCCTGTGTATAAGCTACAATCTCAACTTACTTTGTTTATAATACTGATTTCAGTTTAACAGCTCATGTTGGGGCACAATGGGTCATAACTCTGTGCCAGATGTTTCTCAAAAGTTGCCAAATGCAGGTCAGAATTTCCTCTTCAGTCTTCCAACCTTAACATAACATGCAATTAGAAGCACAAGACTCTGAAAGGTTCAACACCAGCAGGTGTGATATTCTTGGATGTTAAGCAAATCATATATTATTTTCCAATTGAAGGTTCCTAATTTTTCCAAGTAACTCTGATGAAGTGCATCAGTATCCAAGAGCTTCTCCTCCTGTGGTATGAAGACTTATTTTTGTGATGACTTTTGGTCAACTAAATTTCATTTTAGCAATGATTATGGGGACAACCAATTGTACCTGACATTGACCCAAGGTAGCCCATTTTAAAATATGACTAAATTGCTCAAAATTTGTAGGCAAAATTTGTTGACAACTTTGTAACAGAGAATTGTGCAGATGATCCAAGTCTTTACATGCATGGCTGTCCATTGCTTCAGAAGAATAAAAATGCCTGAGTTGCAGGCCTGCAAAAAAGTGATCCATGGTGCCCCACACTCCCCTACCTCAATATCTATGAAACCTCCATGTTGATGCAAATCAGACACACAGCATCACCAAGACTTTGCTAACTTACTGAACCCCTTTTTTTGTGTCTCTGGAGGGTTTCAAGGTGTCCTGGGGAAGCTAATCCAGCACAGTGGCAATTTTGAAAGAAATGATGCCTTGACACCACAATTCTTCCCTAAAAGCCATTTGTTTCACCCTTCAACCTGGTTTGAATTGCCCTGTGGGAACAAACCCATCAACATACCGGGATTGATGCAATTAGCCCGACAATGACTGCAATGATCCAATTGAAGATGTGCATGAAGAGGTAGTCAGCTGGCCTCCCATCAAATGTTCCTGAAATGATGTTGCCAATATAGACAAACATGTTTGAGATTGGGGCATAAATTTCCCAAAATCAAGTTTCACCTGTTTCTAATCGATATGAGTAATTGTACAAGAAGTACAGGTTAATGAGGAAATGAAATCCAGTTTGAGGAGATAGAGGGTAATAGAAGGCTGCTGTGAATGGTCGCCATATCTGAAAAGTAGACACACAATAGTCATTTAAGAGGCTCATTATTCAAGCCCTAATCTAAAGTATGAGGTGCTTTTAAAAAGTATTGCTCAAAACTCATTTATTACATCTCTATATGAAAAGCAAACAGTTAAATTATTCTCATGTCTTAATATAGTCTCCTTTCATCTTCAATTTTTCTCAGTTTCAGCCAGTCTTGAAAGGCTCCTGCAAAGAAGTCTTTAGGAGTATGTTTAATCCACTAGTGAATGGCTGATCCCAGAGCTGAATGACTTAGAAATCCTGAGTCACAAAACTGATCCTTAAGCTTGGGAAAATGCAGAAGCAGCTGAAGGTAGATCCAAAAAATAACAGGTAACAGGCAGCAGTTCAACATCCTTTTCCTCCAAGAAGTCATGAACTGTGATGTGATGATGGAATTTTTTTCCAGGGTGGAGGATGATGGAGTTGGTTGCCCACTATGGCAGCTCTCTTGCAATACCTTGCAGAAGCATGTGAATGATGTTTAAGTAAACCTTTTCAAGGAATATTGTTTTTGGCATGGCATGGCAAAAACACCTTTGCAATGCCAATGGAGGTGAACCTTGGTACTTCATTAGAAATTACTGACATTTTGTCTCAGGGCTGTAGAGGTAATCCTGTAAAGGAGGTAACTAGGCAAATAGATTATGACAATTTCAGTCAAGAGTGCATCACCTCATTGAAAATGATGCATAAACTGTCAAAAGGGATCCACTCAGCCATTTAGTCTGCCATGAGGTGCCTTGGAATTAACTGAGATGAACCTTTTTCACATGGAACTTGTCAGTTGAAATTGTGTGAGCAGATCCCATAACGTTGCTCTCCACAAGGTCCCAAATTTTGTCACATTCTTTCAGACATCTATTCATTATGTGGACCATCAACATTTTCTCTGCCCTTTTGCTAGCGCTCTCTTCCATCTTCTGATGGTGAATATTAGAGGCAAGTACAGGGTGGGCCAAAAAAATCTTCAGTTATCTTTAATGCTTCACCATATAGTTTCTCAAGAGTTTGAAAATTTTGCAAGAGCATCTCTATATAGAACTATATATAGAATAATATAGAATCTAGCTTTTCACTGATGTCAAAAGACTTACAATCCAATCCATCATTCTGATGCAGTTACGCATCATGTAACAGAGGTAGAGCTTGAAAAGTGCACTTACCAATACCCTACAAGATGTGCTCTAGGTGATGTCCATTCCTTTACTTATGGCAAGTAGGTGACCTCTTGCATGCACTAGCTGCCATTGTAGAATGGCATCAACCTTTCCAGTGCCACCTCTTATACTCTTTATCTGACTGCATGAAAGTCATACCATGAAACTTTATTCTGTTGACATAATTGGAAAGCTGAATGTTCTATACATTGTGATTTTAGAAAACTTTTGAGGACTAGTGGTGTGGAGTTATAAAAATGACAAAAGTTTTTTTTGCCCACCCTATACTTCTATAAACTTCACTCAATGATTAATGCCAGGCACTTTCTTCCCTATGTGAGTCAAAAACTTGCATATGGTTTTCAGCTTGACTTCAGAAAATGCTGCCATCTTCAAGCAGTGCTCAAAGCGGACTCAATTAAATGCACTAATGCTGGCAAAAGCTTTTTCAAGTTCCAGCTAATTACTACCATTAATTAGATAATTAATGGTTGTGACTTGATCAGTACTTTTGAATGCACCTCATACATAACAGAAGCTTCTAAGAACTGTAAACTCACTTGAAATCTTTTGATGAACGGTTCATGCAAAAGCATGAGATAATATGGTGAAAGGAGCCCAAACCTTCCAAGGAGAGTAAAGGCAATTGTGAACCCAAACCAGCATCTTGTGACGATTGGTAGGCTCTTGAACCAGTTGGCTATGTCACTCATAATTGTCAATGGGATCAGGGGAAGAGGTTTCACACCAAACTCTAAAACCAAGCCATCAAAAAGGTACAAATTTCCATGGATTACAAAGGAATAACTAGAGAACCACCAATGAAAAAAAATTGAAAAAAAAAAAGCTCTACAATGCAAACTGCAACATAGTAAGTTCTTATGCAATACAGGGGAAAGTTTAAATCATATTTCTCACAAGAAGTTTCAGCTTTCTTATCAGAATGTATCCCAGGTCAATCATTTCAGTTTTTCTACTATTTTCTAGCATTTAATCTCAGCATGGAATCATTTTTTTGAACAGGTGCACAACATGAAAGCATTGCAGCAATGGCAGACAAAAAGAGCAATTCTGGTGGAGTGATTCCCAATAATGAAAGGGGGGGATAGTTACTACAAAGCTACAGCAGAGCGCTCTACAAATTCGTTTCAGTAGTAGAAACATCATTGCAGATATAGAATGGAGTCAAAACAGAATTACTTTTCAAACAAATGGCAATTGCCACCCTTAGAGATTGTGACTTTTAAGTGTACAAAACAAAACTACTACAGAAAATAAGATGCAACCATTCACCTTGACAAAGTTGCCATTACCTACTGCTAATCAGAAAGTTTGAGTTGGATTATTCGGGGTGCATTATGATTTATAGGCTATTCAAAAGATTAATCCAAGATTGTATCTTTCATACCAAAGTCAGCTATAACCAGCTGGAAAAGTAAAATTTGAATGCTTATCAAGGTACCCATTAAACAGACAATTGACATTGCACAAAAGCAGCAAGGCTATGAGCAACTACATAAAAGAAATGGAATAATGGAAACAAACAGGGTACTTTCAGTCCCTTCATGGTGACTAATCTTTATCTGCCATAGTGAAAAATGCAAAACACTGAATAAACCTGAATCAGGTTGTTCATTTTCATCTGTTTTCCTTTATATCAATATGAATGTAATATGATAGAGGTGCAAGCAGGTCTGGGAGCATACTCCAATGTACCTGATCCTTGGCAATGGACTCAAGCTCAGTAGGTGGAATGCTGAACCTTTCATGACAAAAGTCACACCAGTCTGTCAGTTCAAAGATGTTCTATTCCCATGGTGTTAGATAGATCTTATGCAAGCTGTGAGCATCCACCATAGTCCAAAGCCTCTGCCAGAATTTCATGCACACCAGAATTTCCATTCCTTCAGCTAACAATAGCTTGCAGGACTTCCATAGTGAGACTATTCTCCACATATGTATGTTCTGAGTAAGGGTACATAAGAGTATACTGTGGGTGGGTTAACCTCATTGGCCTTTCATTTTCCGGCTTAATTTTTACTAAAAAATAACTTCTTTTTTTTCTGCTGCATGAGGTATTTAAGCTTTACGCTCTCTATATACTCCTTCTACTGAAAACCCACACATTTATTATGCATCTGTTGTTTGATGCCTTACATGTAGCACATATAAACAATGCAGCAGGTCAGAAATCAAATTCATACTTTTCTGAAAGTACCCCGAGATTGGCTCGGATCAAATGCCAAGGGGGTTAAGGAATTCCTCAATATGTTCCTTCCACTTCAGTAGCCAGGACATTTCTGGTTATTGCCAAATCCAGTTTTTGTCCTTGACCCAAAGTAAAGTAAACTAACTAGACTGATACCTATTGATTGAACAGCCAGTGACCATGAAAAAGTCTAACCACATCTAGCAAAAGGCCTTTAAAAACCCTTATGGAAGATCTGTTTAATGTGGCCTCCACAATAAGCAGCCAAAACACAAAGGAGTTTCCTCCACTTGACACTTAAAACATCCATCCGTTTTTCCAATTTCATCCAATTTTCAATTTCAGGCTATACATAATTGCTCATGGCCTTGCTTTGTTACAATAAATTTACAAGCCTGTCACAGGTCTGCTTGGAACATATCAGCCTGTGTAAGGATGTTTTATTAATAATAAAAATTGAGTATGAATAGAAATATACTACTTCAAAGTTGGGAGCCTTTTTTTTTTCCCCCTGCATACCCTGTATATGTCAATATAGTCGGTTTAAGTAATCTGAACATTTAATGAGCACTGCAGCATGAAACTGCTACTCACTCTTCAACTTTCAGTCCCCTTGTGGGTTATTTTGCATCCTTCTTAGTGAAAACAGATATATTTTGATAATATTTTGTGATTAGGATAATTTTGGCACTACAGAATCTTATTCAATAGGTGGTTGAGCTCCTAACAGTTTAGGTAGGAAATAAATGATAACACTATAATCCAAAATTCCTGACTTTTGACATATCCTATGTAATGAAGCAGGGTTGTGTGTGGTCAGATCCATAATTTTTCTATAATATGTGGCACACATGGCACAGTGCCAAGTGATTTGCTGTAGGTGCCAACTCACTTAAGACAAACTCACTTCTCACCCTGGATTGAAGAAGCATAGAAGAATTGATTCAGGAATTATACTCACCACCAGAGTATTTATCTCAAGGTAACAAGTAATCAGACAAGATAGCAATGCATTTACAAACTGTAGCTGCCACTTTTTATGAAAAACAGGTTCTCAGAACAAATCACAAGCAGATTACTTGGAAATATTCTCATAAATTGGGATAAGCAATACCCACACTGCTGATTGTGCCAACAGCAAGAACACTGAATCTTCAAATTCATGATGGTGGGAAGGGAATGGCTTCCTGGCCAACATTGAACTAATTTGAATTATGTATGATGTGAAAACATGTTCTTTCCTATCATAGCCATAGTACTGATTCACAATTAGCCTTTTTCCTTCATTGATGATTTATGAGACTGTCTGATCAGGAACTGAACAGAAAGCATGGGTGTCCAGCCAAGAAGTAGCCATCCTTGGCATAAGGATGAAGTTTATATTATTACTGCCTCTGGCAATGACAATGATACCATATATCTTGAACTTCTATTTAAATCTTGGCAAAAAACTTATCCAACAAGCAGTGGGGAGTCCTGAATGAAAGTGACTAGAAAATCATAATTTATTTGTGCTAAACTTAGTTGAATGCTGTTGCATGTTGTCGCAAGAAATCAATGTCAAAATACAACACAACGACAGTGATGTCATCTCTATAGAGACGAACTATATCATCAGGCAAAGCTAAAGAATCAGCTAGCTTCTGTTGATCTATTCCAAAATCACAGCCACCTAGAGCACTGCGAATGAGATGAGTAGCACCATTGAGATCCATGGGTTTCACACGAGCATGCTTCTTCCTCTCCATGAGCATTTTATTTACATCTGCAAGAGTGAGCTGGTGGGGAGGGATCTTGACAAGTCCCAGAGAGACATGTCCTCCCATGTGTTCTCCTATCAACTGAATTACTTCTGTTGGAAGCATCTGTTCCCAGAGGCCATCTGTTGCTATTACAAGAAAATGGTCTTTCATATTCAACTTGTGATGAACTACATCTGGTATGGAGGACAAATAAGGAGGACTGTAGTAATTGGGTGGTATCACATCTTGGCCATAAAATGGTAAAAGCAGCTTCCTTTGAGTAGCCAAATCCCACTTGTAGCGAAAATCACCAAGAGCTCGAAGAGGGGCAAGCTGTCCAAGGAGGCGATCTTGTTTTATCACAGTTTCCTTCTCAGCTTCTGGATGTTCCAGGAGTACCCTGAGTACTTCACTGGCATTCTCACAACTGTGCTCAAGAGTCAACTTCTTGGGAACCCATGTGTTAGGACTTGTATTCACACCCAAGTATGCAGCACAATCTCCAAGATTGGCAACAAATAAATTAGATCCTTGAACATAAGCCACACAAGTCACAGCTCCAGATATTGCAACTGAAAGTAATTCAGAACTTAGAGTTCCAACATTACTGGACTGAATGATTTCTGTGCTCATGTCAGAATCAACCCGTACAAATGCATAATGGAAGGCATCTTCTATGGACTGGAAGCCATTCATTTGGAGAATATCCTCCAGATACCTGTCAAATAATGCTCTATACATTGGGTTCTTTGTCTCAATAGAGTACATGCCTTCATTGTCATATAAATCAAGTAACTTTGCACCACATGTCCCTTTCAAAAAAGCATAATTTTGTCTCAAGATATCAACAGGCAGGAGAGCTGCAGCTAAGTAATGAAGCAAGCGTCGGGATACCATTCGTGCACAAGCTGGTCCTCCATGCCCATCAAATGTCCCAAAAAGAAGACCTGCCAAACAAAAAAAAAAAAGAGAACATTTAAAATTGGGGTTTCCAGAGAACAGTGAGAAAAATAGATACATATTGACATAGTCTTCTTAACATAACAGATTCTCAAGCAAATAATCAATCAACCAAAAATAAATTTTGTTTGTAGCTGGAGCATTCATTAAACAGATTGATGAACTGCTATTGCCACAGATGAACTATGGAAGCCTTTTCAGGCAGGAAAATCTCTAATATGTATTCAGAGCCAAGGAGAGCAAACTTGTTCACAGAAAACTATAAATGCAAACACGATCACAGATGAAATTTTTTGCAAGATTGGTTTTATGTTACAATGCTGCACCACATTCAATTACAATAGTCCAAGTGAAATTGGGCATGTGACTGATGCAACAACTACTTCTTCCCTGAATCTTGATCAAAAGAGGATAGCAGGCACCATAAAAGGCAAGGTGGTGAAAAGGTTGGCCTCATCATGTCTTCACAAATATACAGTGTGGCTCAAAAAAAGTGAAAATCTTTCTCAAACCAATTTCTCTGAGACCAGATAACCTGTACATATAAAAACATTATAAGGAAACTGGCAATTCTTCCCACATATAATGGCATGCTATTTGTATAGGTTTTCTATGTCAATTGTGGTGTTGAGTTACTTGAGAGTATCAAAAATGAAATAAGGAAGGTTCAAATGCAACAGGTACACAAGGTATACCATACCCATATTAGGGGATGACTTCTTGTTGCATTTTAGCAACACATGGCTTCAGGTACATTTGCATATGGTGCTCCTATTGCAACTAATATTATTTGGCAATTATTGATAGGGTTAGGGTTAGTCCTAGGAATATGCTACTACCATGCCACTTCACTGCAGTATAGTTAGCCAAGAAACTGCCACAATATATAACTTTTCATCTCAAATAACTTCATTTAATTGAGATTTTTATTGCTAGGGTCAATATGACTCCATGATACCAGTTGAGGGTAAAGGAGAGCCCCAAAATCTTCCCCTCAGTTTTTTCATGTGTGAAATCTGGCCTCTCATCCCAAATGATTGGTAGTAGCACATTCCTATCAATAACCTTGATGTATCAGTAATTGCCAAGTAAGATTAATTGCAAAAAAACATAATATGTAAATGCACCTAAAGCTGCATGTGAAAATGCAATGAATAGGCATTCCCCCTTACACAAGAATGGTATACCTTGTGCATCTGTTACATTTGACTTTCTTACTATCACAACCGACATAGAAAATCTATAAATCAAGTGATTGAGTTAAAGGCCATTCTAGCCATTGATACATTTTCTCCTTTAGCATTTAATCAATTAAGGTTGTGTATGACAAAACTAAACCAAGAATTTCAGATGGGTTATGTGCCCAACTGCTGTCTCTCTTATCCTGAGCAACTTCTCTGCCTGAAAGCTCTGTCCTGGCCTTCATCATCCAAGTTATGTTTTGAAATTGAAATGACCCCTGCAGGATTTAAAATGACTCATGCAGATAATTGTCAGGAAAACCAATAGTTTCCTCCTAGCTGTAGCTTTGCTGCTGCCATGTTTCCAGGGTAGCTTACAGTCTTTCATTTGAGTCTGATGAGATTATATTTGATCATGAAATTATTATACAAAGTTGGAAGATCAAGAAAAAATAAACCTGCCATGAATGTGCCAGAAATGAAATGTCAAACTCAACTGGAACACACTGTAGGCCTAGACATACAAGCACTTTCAACTTTCATAGCAACTAGGCAAGGAAGCTGCACAACCTTGTTGCAGCAGACACTCTGCTTCCACATGAACATCTTCAATTGGTGTATTGGATGCCAACTGATTAGTGGCAAACGTCTTCACTGGGCCCTCAGAACGTGCATCAATGGTTCGTTCCTCCCTTCGTAAGATGGAGGATACCTGGCAATGGGAGAAAAATTTTGACCTTTCTTATATCCATGTTTAAGTCTAAGAAAATACTTAACTAATTGGGATATTACTTACTTTGACCTAATGATCTAAAAATTTTCTAATGGTCAGTGACTTTGTATTCAACTTTTACCTTAATTCAAAAGGGGTCATGGTTTATAGAAGTATCCATTTTATAGTTTATAGAATGTATCCAGAAGTATTATGGTTTGGAATTTTTTCCGACCCTCCCCCACTAGAGTTATTCATTTGAAACTTCCAAAAAAATATAGCTTTTCTGGTTTGTCAAGGCTGCAATGTAGAAACTGGTGAGATATATGTATACAAGAGAAAGCTCAAGGCAAATGTGGGACCTAGTGAATAGTGTAGTTATTATTGTTGCCTGATGATGGTTCTATGCCATCTATGCATAGGGCATGGAGCCATCAGGCATCATAACAGGAAATAGATGTTTATTTTTCTCTATGGGATTATGATGTATCCAGTGGCCTGATGGACAAAATAAAGCAAGAAAAATATGAAATACCAAGAGACAATGGTCTGAAAATTGTTAATGAGGGGGTAAGGAAGTTAGGGGAGAAGTGGAGCAAAGAAGAAATAAAAAAATTAGTGAACATCTAGGTTAAATAGAAAAATATATATCTGCAGTCTTGCAGTGTCCCAGTTTGTCCAAAAGAATGCATTGCTTGGAATCATACTCCTTTGGTATCTCTTGGTTTTAATTGAGTGCCCCGGCTAGTCATAAAGGCTTAGCTGGAACCCTGCTTAAGTGTGCAATACACACACCATTTTTACTTAAATGCAGGTAGTCAAATATTTCCTTTGTTGCATCTAAATACTATCATCTTTTGTGGTGTAAATGAATACAGCAGCATAAGAACTTCATATGGCTCAAGTATTGCATTCAGATTTGATCAGCTACTTGTTTATTACCCCATATATACTAATGAACAAAAATGAATGCCCACCCATGCATGAAATATTTATGCAATACACACAAAGCCCTTTCATTACCCATTAATACAAGGCTTGACCTTTAGTTCAGATTACTACCTGTACTTCTCAGCAAACCTATAATTGGAGGTAGCATACCACATGAATCCAGAGAGCATAAAGGTTGCCAGATTCCCATCATTTGCATGGTGAACAATCACTTTTGTCCACATGGTGTACGTAAGGCGCCTTTTCACTCCCTCAGCCCTGAAAATGCATATAATTGCATGATTGCTTGTACACATGAGAGCTAATAGATGACAGGAAGTTTCCCAAAAGCTTATGTGAAATTTTTTTATATAAAAATGGAAAAAAAGGATATGTCCATCAGCCAAATGAGAGGAATGAAGAATTGGCAATGTGTATATGCTCTGAAATCATGTGGTATGATATAAGATTCAGATTATCATCCAAGGCATTGGAAACCTGATCCCACATTGTCATGTGTTGCAGACATTCTGTTCACAGATGGGTATTTACTTTAATCCACAATGTGCATGTTCCATAAATGAAAATAAGTGACTATATCATATAAGGTAATATGTGGAATTTTCACATATTTGTATATACTAGTGTATTTGACGAACATTCTTAGAGCTATAGTGATGTTCTAGGGATGGGGCAGTCAATTGACCACCTTTTAATTGACCATTATTGACCACTAATTTTTTTAATTCAGTGAATTAAGATATTTTTTATAAAGCTCATAACTGTGGTCATTTATCCCCCAGCACTAAAACCAAAGAGCCAGTTCAATTTTTAAGATTTGTTCATGCAGCCCGCCAAACACCTAGACTGTGGCACCTGTTGCATTTGAAAACATTTTAGTTTTGTGCAAGGTCAACATGGTCGTGGCTAATAGTCTGCATCAGAGCATCAAATTATTCTCAAAGTCTGTGATCATGGGACAAAGTAAGTAATATCCCAATTAGTTAAGTATTTTCTNTCCCTATGATGTTCTATAACTTTCTGGGTCAATCAAGGTCAAAGACTTCCTTTCTGATCTGATCTGGAAATAGACATTACTTTTTAAATGACTTTGAGTAGCACAATAAAGTTATAATGACTATTCTTTAAGTAGTTTGGTCAATGCTATCTCAGGATCAGTTTGGTCTTGGGAATTAAAAGCTTTAAATACATATATTTTTTTACGCCCAACAGGAAGAGGTGCTAACTTCTGGGCAGCAGTGAAGGGGTTAAAAGAAAAAAATAAATAAATAAAAGTTGGTCCTATTTACCAAAATTGACCATAGTTGACCATATTGACTGGTCAATAACACTTCCCTATGATGTTCTATAACTTTCTGGGTCAATCAAGGTCAAAGACTTCCTTTCTGATCTGATCTGGAAATAGACATTACTTTTTAAATGACTTTGAGTAGCACAATAAAGTTATAATGACTATTCTTTAAGTAGTTTGGTCAATGCTATCTCAGGATCAGTTTGGTCTTGGGAATTAAAAGCTTTAAATACATATATTTTTTTACGCCCAACAGGAAGAGGTGCTAACTTCTGGGCAGCAGTGAAGGGGTTAAAATAAAAAAATTAAAAGATTATTGCTAATTGTCAGGTGCTATAATTAAAAGCCTATATATGTGAGCCCATTGGGGGCAGCAATAGCACTAAAAATGTGGAACAGCATGAAAAAAGTGCATGTGAAAAAAAGTGAACTATGGTTTAAACATGATAGATTATGGGATTAAACTTTAATTGCATCAACTGTGCTTTCAACAGGAAAGTTGCAGAGCTAATAGTAGTACAAAGTGTATAAGAAAATAAAAATATTATATGAGTCTAATTTTTATGCCTACCTGATGTGGAGTCAATGATGTGCCAAGATACTGAGGTGAAGGTGAAGAAGTTGAAAACCTTCTGCACCAGTACTTCCCTCTTCCAGAATAGAAAGCACATCCTGCCCTGGGAATGATACTCAAGCGGAAAGGGTACTTGAATAGGGAACATGGCATGATGGTCATTCAGGGTGACTGCACATTCTGGATGCACTTGGATGAAGATGGGCATTCACAATCAGAAGGGGAATCAGAATAGGTTCATATCCATGTGATTGAGCCATATTTGATCTCACCACTTAAGTCACTGCAAAGGATTAAAAAAAGTTACCCCCAATATCCAATTCCAAAAAAAACCCAGTGCTTTCTGAATATCTTGAGCAGATGCTACCCATTCTATTCTCATTGAGAACATGAAATTCCACACTGCAATCATGGCGAATTCTTTATAATTGGAAAGCTCTCTTCTACTTTGATTCAATATGCATGATCACTCTAGCAGGACCTTTGACAAGGCAATATGAAAGGTTCCAGCAAGTCCACTGCTTCTCAAGTGCTATTTTTTAAATGGTGTATTTATTACAGTATCTTTCACCTGAGCAAGACGAATTTTCCCTTGACTCACCCACACAAGTATGAAGAACATGCATTGCACAAGTGAGTCAAGAGAAAAATTGTCTGACTCAAGTTAAAAAACAAGAAAGCACACATAGAACAGGTCGCTGCTTAGGCCTACCACATGTTAGGCCTGGTGCACCGTTGCTGCCAAGGCATACAAAAAGGGGCAGTCAAATGGTGAGCCAGGGTGCCCTGGATATATAGAGAGGTTGGCTCACTTTCATAAGACTACCTCTTATACACTCCATCCGGATGGACTTTAACCTACCAACGGCATCCCTCCCTGAGCGAGGGAACTGCTACTGCCCAACCCGGCGATAGCGCCCATTGAAAAACAAGAAGCACATGTAAATGGAGAAACACAATCCGGAAACACTCTACAGTTCACGAGCGAGCAGCCATACCTGTTAGGTCTACGTCCAGAATGCTGATAGGAGGATTGCCTCGATTTGTAGCTACGACAGTAGCATCGTCTACTCCAGTAGTTCCGAGTATGTGGGACGATGGTCCTGTAAATCTGGTTTGGTGATGCAAAATCTAAAAAGTAAAAATGAAACAAAGCCAGTCTATCCCCCAAAATGCCTAAACTCAGTTCTGAAAAGTATGCAGTGAAAGAAGAAATTTACGATCTTTGGCGTTTGTGGCAATAGCAGTCAAGTTTAGGTTAGCCTAAGCCGCTTCGGATAAATGTAGTCCCTAACTTAGTACTTAGTTCGCAGTAGTTAGTTAACCATGTTCCTATGAAGATGAAATGGCTAGATTCTAATCCAACTTCAAATAATGCTAAATCACCTAATTTTTTGGCACAATTGGTTCACTTTCTACTTGCCATGCAAGTGAGATGAAATGTTGATTTTAAAAGACGTAGGATCTCAGGAATATGAAAATTATGAGCCAAGGGGATCAACATGGCCCATTCTGGCTTATATGTGCATTTTCATTGTTGAATTCTTCATAGATTGGGATGACAAGGGGTTATTGCTGAGCACTGGGGAGGCCCTATGATATAATGCATAGTATTCGGATTGAATTCTTGCCTCAAAATCGGAGCATTTCCATCGATTGCAGGAAGTGACACCTTCCACAAGGGTGATCTTTTTTGCTTTTTCTGTTCTTAACTACCGAGCATGGGTACAAAATCTTCTCCAAATCAATGTAAGAAGATAGATAATACTTTGACTAGAGTTCAAAGTAGCTGAGAAAGGACAAAGGAAAAACATGGTCAAGGATTAAGCTGGCCAAAATAAATGATAAAAATGCCCTAAGGGAAGTATGATTCCAGAAGGGAAATATAACAGGCATATTGTGGATGGCTGGAAGAAGTTCATTCCATAGCTTAGGCAACAGCATGAAGAAAGCATTTTTTATGAAGGACTAATATCTTCCAATGCTGAAATTGAGAGTGGAAAGTTTGTGCACTTTAACAAGTACCCTTGCTCAAAAGGATTTAAATCCTCAGGAGAATAGAGATTCTTTTGACAAGGAAAGGGTTAAAGACTTTTGCAGATGAAGCGTCAAATTCAACTATTTCTGGCTCATGAGAAATAATTAAGAACTAAGTTTTCTTTTAAAGCATATCAAATGCCATTCTACCACACTTGTCTCAACTTTTGTCAAGTTTAGTCACCGAGGGGAGCTTGGCCGGGACACAAAATTGAAATGGGGGCACAATAAACTGACAGAACTTTTAAAAAGTGGGTGTATTACTGACTGTAAAGTTGAGGAAGAACATAAAGTATTTTAGATATGAAGCACATAATTATCCAAGTAAGGTCATTATCAGGATTTCAAGTTGCTTATGGAAAAACTTCCAAGCATATGGGAAAGGGTCTCACCACCAAGTGAGTATAGAGGCAAGAAACATATTGCAGAATTTCTATAGGAGACAATATGAGTCTTTAAGGTATTCAGAGAGGGAAGGTACCAAAATCCCTAATTTTTAGTTTAGATTACAGATAGACACCATTGGAAAAATTTTGATTAGTTCCTATGATAAAAATCATTTGACATAGACATTGATATGACTTCTCATAACAAAGTCACCAGTCCTGCCCAAAAGTAGGGAATACCAGGCAGTTTGAAAACCACAACTGAAAACCACAACTTTTGATTCCATGAGGACTTTAAATTCAGTTGAATTGTATTCTCTTTATGATGCTATGAAGGTTTTTAGCCCTTTGATTTCAACATGAATATCAGTAAGCACCACTCCCTTATTGCATCCAGAGAAAGTCTTTCACATATATATTACCTGTACCAAAATTAATGAATGACATAATCTCAGCTTTGGCCATTATAGGATAATTTAGGCTAAGTTGGGTTAGTCTGGGGTCACTAAAAACCCTTGGACTTTTGGGTAACTTTGACACTACAGTATCTTATCTGGTAGGCAGGTGAGTTTTAAGCAGTTTAGGCAGGAAATAATCCATATACTACATTTCTATGATTCATGGCTATGTTATACCCTTGTGTTACACCCTATATAGGAATATCTATAGATGAGTTGAAGGCTTGCCAATGAACATGGAATGAGATTGTCATAGATGAGGGTAATATCAGAAGTCATTACAATTAATTTTCATTGTCCTGATCACATTGTAACCACTTACCTATACAACCTGAGCAACCTTCAAGTTGTCACCCAAAAGCTCTCTAACAGTTTTATCATTGTGGTAATATTGTATAATATAGATATAGATATATTGTATATGTATGGGATATTGTTTTTAATGACTATCATTGATCACGTTTTTCTCTCATCCTATATTTTGTTCATAGGAGCATTTTGGTGAGATGTGCTGGATATAGAGACATGAACACTTTGTAATAAAGCTGTAATAGTAAGGCATTTTGTGATAGCTGAAAGTTTGGATTAAGAAAAAAATACTTTCATCAGCTCAGAAGGATGCTTGACAGTATCAGGGACACAATCCACAATGTCCAAGAAGGACTATCAGCAAGGTAAGCTGCTTGCAGCCAACCTTGAGACTTGAGATATGGAAGCAGAAGGCTTTTTCATTCTTTTAGTGTATTTAGGCCAATACATTGATGCAGTTATCAAAGACTGACTCGTTTGCAGCCTTAGGGGCCTGTCAGGAGGAAGTCATACCTTTCGTCCACATGGCAAATTTGGCTACAAGAACACTGATGCTGGTTCGCAACTGCTACATCACTATCAAACGCACTGGGCTGAAATGCACACATGGACAGAAAAAAATGCCAAAAAAGCCAAAGAAGTAGATCTCATTATTAGAGACCTCCATGCTCACAGTGAGAAGCAATGGAATGGCATAGTGAAGCTGAATTCAGAACTTGCTGTGTTTCCAGAGCTGATTGAATCAATGGACAAGGTCATGGAAAACTTAGGTATGCACTTGATTCATAATTTACCACTTGCTACGATGAGCCAAAGGTGCAGATTTCGTCTGAAAAGTGCTGTTTTCTGTAACACTTTAACTCATGAAGTTTCCTTTATATGGTTTACATTGCCTATCATTGCTTCCTTGCAGGAACTCTCCAAGGATTGTTTGAGGAAGTAGAAGATGCACTGTTTCACTTGGAAGATGTACTGGAAACTCAGAAACTCAGGGAACAGCAGTTGGATCATAGGTTCCAGTTTGCACTGTACAAAGAGAAGAGGCTTGCTGAATTGGAGCATTATAGAAGTGAGCTTTACTCATCCTTCATTGCCATCTTTTGACTAGTTCCTTAGATGTTGCACATTGATTAGCATTAGCCACAGGATTTTTGTAGTGTAGGATGGACTCTTGAGTCTGATATTGGTGAAACCATAGGTAAAAGTATACATTTACAGGTTACTTTTGAACAGATGAGATAAAAGCCATTCTTGAACTCACTGACCCTCAAAAAGGAAGTCATAATTAGAGGGAAGGGAAAGGAAAAGGAGTAAATGTATCCCTCTTCCAGACTGTGCATAAAAAGGCATGGTTTGGCTGTAGTATTGGGCAGCCCCATTTATTTATGTAATACTCAAGAGAGAGATGGGTCTGCTGCGACTTCTGAATGAAAAGACCAGTTATTTACAGCTCCTTTGATGGTTATATGATGAGTGGTGTCAGTTGTTGATGTCAGTGTAGTCAATTTCTCATTTGCCACAAAATGTAATTGAGGAGCCATTTTGGCTTCACATGGAAGGGTATATAAAAAATGTGTACTACACTTAACATTTTCCAGACAATGGTTTCTGGGTGTAACATGCCATAGTAAATGACAGCTTCATCTACTTTGCAAAAATTTTATAAATTCATCAAATGGTAGTAATTTCAAAATGTTCCTTCTGTGAATTGAGGCTTTCTCTACCAGCTGGTACAACACTTACAGTATTAAAGATAATAGAATATATGGGATGTCTATGCATCTTGTTGTCTGGCAGGGGAGAAAGGGGAGAAGCCACCTAAGCCAGTCCATCATCCCAAAAGTGTTAACCTGTTTTGAAATGGGGCCCTGCATGTGTGCTGTTTATGCCAATCAATACGCTTATGTACAACGCTCCTTGCAACATGTTTTAAGTGAAAAATGTGCATTATTACAATTTCCCTTAAAGCTTGTTTTCTTGCAATACAGCACACCTAGCTGAGCACCACAAGATCAAGTTGGAACAGTATGAGGCTTCACAGAAGGATGCACTAAAAGAAAGACAAGAAGTATTCAGCAAAGCCTTCCAGGAAGAACTTGAAGAATATCGCCGTAAGGGTGATCTCCCAAGTAAGTCCTGTGATTCCTTGTAAGATGTTCTTGCCTATGTGATATATTTAAGATTGCACAATACAGTATTTTTTTTAATATATAAGTATAATTATGGGCATGATTGAGCATTTTCAAGGGTTATTACATTGAATGGGTAGCTTCCTGCAATTTTTTTACATCTAATACTTTTTTGTGAGGACTGGAGGGCAGGACATGGAGTTGGCAGCAACATCCATATCTATATTTATCCTTATTGAGGGGCTGATGAGTGGCTTGGTTGGTAATGAGCTTGTTTCCCATGGCAGGGGACACAGGTTCAAACCCAATCAAATCAGGTATTTATTTCTGAGTGCAAGTCACATCTTTAGATTTGGGACGTAAAAGAACCCCAATGGCTAAACCGACCCTGGGTGATGTATCTCAGGAGTAACCACTTGGGCCAAATTGAGTCTCCCAAGGTGAGAAGCTATCTATTAGCTGACATTACAGGGTGGAGGGGGGTGGTGGGGTGTCTGCTCATGGACCAGAATCTTGGCACAATCATGAGCCAAGAGCCTCTTGCACCTAGTACCATGTTATATATTATATCCTTTAGATCTAAGAGTTTGTGATTTTTATTTCCATTTCCTTTTCCAGAAACCATGGAAGGAGCATCATCTGGTTTGACACTTGAAAACATTGCATTGGACTCGGATAGGACTGCTTTGGATGAGTTTCTGGCTGAAGAGGCAGAGGAAGCTTTGGAAATAGCATCTGAAGATGCCCACAAGGAAGAAGAGGAAGAAGAAGAGGGAGGTGAAACTGGAAATGATGATTTGGAGCATCATGTTGTATGTGTGGAAGAGGAGGCATATACATAGCATTGTACCCAATGAAAAGCAATATGATGTTCATTCCAGAGACTGATGAAAAATTATGTTTTATGTGTCATGTGTGTGCATGGGCACAGTTTGGGGCTTTCTTTGGGAAGCAAATCTTGTAGAAAAATTGCTTCTTAAAAAAAAAAGTCTAGAATATGTTTATTCTATTGGCATGTTGTTCAGCTATTTGTGGCATCCATCTGGTTTAGTGTCAACCAAAGTTATTTCTGAAGTTTCTCAGAACCTGCTCCTTGTGTACTGCAATTTGGGGTTGAATCTAATTGATCCTGAACACCATCCATGATTTGCCTACTTGAGGCATCAGAGTCTTGAAGCATCTTTAAGGAAACATTTCCAGTTTCAACTTTGACCAATTGGCTGCATTCGCTTTAATTGTTCTCTGATACATGCATTTCCATGGAATTTGCAAGGATAGGTGATTCTGAAATTGGCCAGGAATTTTAACCTTTCTCTTGGTAACCACTCAAACTCAAGTATTCACTCCCATCCATTCTCAAATAAATATGGAGGATGAGGGCATTCTTTGCAGGAAAGCTTTTAAGTACATTGCCATCATAATCATGGATACATATTGTGATTTTTGCCACTTGCATACTCATCAATACAAAGCCTTGATTTATCCATTTACCTCCAGATATCCCAGAGGTTCCTTGTTCAGATCTTGAAAAAATTAATTGCAAAAATTACGTGTAATTCCACAGGTCATCCCAAAAGTCATGTAGTGATTTTGTGATGCATAAAAATGAGACCTATTCAATGACAGCCATTTGTTTGAGGTTCATTAGTTTGTGGTGGCCCAATGAACATCTGATGTAAAAAAAAATTGCCATGAAAAATAATGTAATCTAAATGCTCACCATTTGAAACAAAATGCTCCCTTACTTGAAAAATTATGTTTCCCATGACCCCAAAGTATTCTTCATTAGCTTGCCTGACATTGTTTATTATTGAACAAAGTGTTCATGCCTTCTTACATACACTTGCTGCTAGAGGTGAAAAAAGAAATATGAAACAAACAGATGATGCACACATTCTGGATAATTTATGGAGTAACCCCAAAAAAAAATTTGTGATACCCAACGTTTATGTTTATTCAATTGCAAAAAATAAACTCATGAAACTGCACCTATTTACCTCATTTTTGGCAGGAACTGAAGATTTAAAAAATGACAAAACAAGAAGGGAAGGCAAGACCCCTACCCTCTTAGTCATCAATTGAATCTGAACTTGCCAAGCAGGGAGTGGGAGGGTTGCCAGGTGACTTGATAAGAAGAGGACCTCCATTAATCCTCTCTAATTCTGAGAAGTGAGGAAGACTAAAAACATTGTTTTCTTTGGAAAAAACATGGAATCGGAGACAGGAAGTGGGAAAATGAGAGGGAGGGAACACTGAGAATATTTTTTTCTCTTCTGTTTCAGTCTTCGGCTCGATCTCATGAGGTGCATGCTGTGAAAGTAGACAATTATTATACTCCCTTGATTTCGAAACGTACATCGGTTAATCCCCCTCCCTATATTTCTGTCTTTCTCTTTAGTAGGGAGGCTTACGTTTTTGAATTTTTTAACTTGCCCTGGGGAATTTTACATCTTGGCTTAAGGTGAACCCAAAGTGAATTATTTACTCGGGCGTCGCTTGAATCTAGGACTGTAGGGATGTTTCGGCAACCGCCGATATGGCACCATCAAGGGCCGCCCAGAGGTTTCCAGGGGCCCGGGGCAAAATTAAACTGGAGACCCCTTGGAGCCCCCTTGAGGTCCTCCTTGGGACCCTTTGATACTCGGGGCCAGGGGCAGATTGCCCCATTTGGCCCCCCCTCTGGGCGGCCCTGTCACCATCGACAAATTTCCTATCTGCCGGTGCCGATGTCCAAAGAACATCGTGTAGAACGAAGAAAAAGAAGAAAAAAAACTGGGTAAAAGGGCTTGGAAACTGATTCTCAATGGCAATAAGAAAAAATTAAGACTGTCCTTAGGCATCCATCTATGAATGGATGTCATTCAGGGCTGTTTCTAGGGGCGGGCGATCACCCGGGGCGCCTGCGGGAGGAAGGGGGGGGGGGGGGGCGCGCAAAGAAACAATAATAAACAAGTATTTTTTTTTTATATGGTTTGCGTGGAAGAAAATGCCTTGACTTGGCTTTGATTATTTACGTATGTAACAAAATGATTTCCATCAGTTCTGGCTCCCTGTCAGCTTCCGGGGATAAGGCCCAAATCGCCAGAGTTGCGGTGGTGCTTCGCGTCGCAGTTGGCTTGGTGGGTGGGGCGCCATTGGAACTCCTTGCCCTGGGCCCCAATATGCCTAGAAACGGCCCCGAGCCTCATCTGGAATAAAGGAAACACATAAAATTTTCTGTCATCGAATTCTTAAAGAATAGACATATTGCTATTAATACGAGGGCCACTCACAAACTAATGAACCTCAAACAAATGGCTGTCATTGAATAGGTCTCATTTTTATGCATCACAAAATCACTACATGACTTTTGGGATGACCTGTGGAATTACACGTAATTTTTGCAATTAATTTTTTCAAGATCTGAACAAGGAACCTCTGGGATATCTGGAGGTAAATGGATAAATCAAGGCTTTGTATTGATGAGTATGCAAGTGGCAAAAATCACAATATGTATCCATGATTATGATGGCAATGTACTTAAAAGCTTTCCTGCAAAGAATGCCCTCATCCTCCATATTTATTTGAGAATGGATGGGAGTGAATACTTGAGTTTGAGTGGTTACCAAGAGAAAGGTTAAAATTCCTGGCCAATTTCAGAATCACCTATCCTTGCAAATTCCATGGAAATGCATGTATCAGAGAACAATTAAAGCGAATGCAGCCAATTGGTCAAAGTTGAAACTGGAAATGTTTCCTTAAAGATGCTTCAAGACTCTGATGCCTCAAGTAGGCAAATCATGGATGGTGTTCAGGATCAATTAGATTCAACCCCAAATTGCAGTACACAAGGAGCAGGTTCTGAGAAACTTCAGAAATAACTTTGGTTGACACTAAACCAGATGGATGCCACAAATAGCTGAACAACATGCCAATAGAATAAACATATTCTAGACTTTTTTTTTTAAGAAGCAATTTTTCTACAAGATTTGCTTCCCAAAGAAAGCCCCAAACTGTGCCCATGCACACACATGACACATAAAACATAATTTTTCATCAGTCTCTGGAATGAACATCATATTGCTTTTCATTGGGTACAATGCTATGTATATGCCTCNAAAAGATTTTCATGCAATGAAGAGCTGAAAGTTGCCGTTTCTGATTGGTTTGATGGACAAGAAGTTGACTTCTATTCCCAGGGAATAAAATCCTTGGAATCAAAGTGGAATAAGTGTGTTGAGTTAAAAGGTGACTACATTGAAAAATAAAGTGTTATTTTTCCCCTCGGATGTTTCTTTCTTATTCAGGTAGATAACTTATTGAGTGACCCTCGTACATCATCACTTGGATTATGTCAGTCTTTCTACTTCAGGACAGAAACTTTTTGACCAGCCCTCGTAGGTTGCTCATTTGTTTTGTTCTATTCAACCACTCTGTGTATGTGTGCATGTTTCCTCTCTCTCTCTCTCTCTAAAAAAAAATTCTGATCCATTATTTCATCCTTATTTCCATTGTATTTTTTTTGTTCCTTCCTACCTCTTAAACTTAGATTGGCTCCAGGGACCAACGACCAATATGGTTATGAAGTGTGCTGTGCATACTTTCCTCCATCCTTTCACTCGTCCCAATAAAAATATTATTACTATTACTATTATGGCACAGATATAGAGTGATTAACAAAAAAAGCCCTAGCGTTTTCTATGGGAGAAAGTAAGATTCTTATATTCGAGCAAAAATGACAATAAGATTCATAAACTCTTGATATTGGATATATACAAGGTGTTAAGATGATTGTCTTTTTTCTGAACATTTCTCTGAGCCATGCATTGTCCCTTTACAAAGTTTACAGGTGAATCATTACACCTCAAGTGCAGTAACGGTCTATGCCCCCATAATCTCAAAATTCAATCAAAGCCAGTTTTGGCCTTAAACTGATTTTGACCAAATTCATACTTTTTTTTATTGGCTTCAAAACCATATCTTTTGGAAGCGCTCTCAGATGCAACTGCGTCAAACTACCCCTTGAAAGGTAAGTCAATCTAAATATGGTGGTAACATTGTATCAGGTGTTGCTCATAGATAGCCCCCCCCCCCCCTCCACGGCCTAAGCTATTAGAGCTAGGAAAAAAACTCATATATGATGAGAAAGAGCATTCATTTTTTAATCTAAACATGTACTTCTATTAATTTGTGTGAACCTTGGCTGACAGGTCTGACTGCTTTAAGACGAGCGGGGTAAGATGAAAAGAGACAAAGAGTTCTGTGTCATCTTCCATGTCCTTCAGCACTCAGGTGAAGTTGCTTTGCAAGGCTTCTCGGGGGCATCCATGCTGCCTGCCCTCCATATGCATGAGAGCCTCAATTTGTTCTTTCAGGATAACCCCTGATTCCTCATTTCCAAAGAAATCAATCCCTGAGTCTTTCAGTATTTGCTGTGTGGTCAAAGCTTTGAAAAACAGGGCTTTATCAGGTAGAAGGTGAACGTTTAATCTTTTTCGAAACCCATGAATGGGTAACGAATTCAAGTCTGGCATCACAAGTTTCTCAAAACGTAATGGCACGGATGCAATCAATGAATATAAGTTTTTCAACACCATACTGTGGAGTCCTCCTCGTGCCCATGGATGAGCAGAGGGGAAGAGTCCCCGAGTTACTACGCCGAGTAGTAATAGCGGACCTCCTCTCGCCCCTTCACGCCCTCACCTCTGCCCGACAAGAGTCCGCCTTGAACCTCCGGCCNGGCCGGACGACACGTGGCGTGTCGAGTCACGCAGCCTGACCCTCACCGCCGGTCAACTCAGTGAACCGCAGTGTGAGCCCCGAACTGCGTGCCGGCCTGTATAGCGAACTGCTGTGGACTCACCACGAGCCGACGACCTGGATCACGGTCGGCGGCCAGGAACCAACACATCCGATCGTCCACGTATCAGGACGAAGTGCGTGCGAGCCCCTGCTACAACCGTGAGACGGTATCTCCCTGTATTTCTCCTTCCGGTCTTTCTCCCCTATTGAGTATCCTAATAAATTCTGCACAGTTGTTAACCTAATCTAAGGACGTACCTTTCTTCATACTTGGAGTCTAGAGAGATCTGAGACTTCGCTTCTCCCTCGCTAATTTACCATCTATAAGAACACGCAACCTTCCTGATTACCAACCGACTACATTGGGTCTGATCTCCATATGTAGCGAGGCATTCGTGCCCCATATCTTGTGACCCCCTGGGGTTCGCTACAATACGACATCAGAAACAACAAACTGGGATTGAATAGAACCAAAATTGAACAAGGATTCCAAATATATATATTATATTTTAACAATTTTTCTAGCTCCTGTACATAGGGCTGCGGAGGGAGGCTATCTATGTGCAATACCCGGTTATAACCGTGTAGTCAGGAAGTTAGCATCTGGGGGTAGGAGGCCAAGTTGCACCCCCCATAACCAAATTAAAACTCACTTTTCTCGGCCTCCGCTTAAAGTACAGGCATGTTTTTTTTTGTCTGTTGGCTATTCTCAATATAATTCGACCGTTTGCCAAATTTAATTGAATTCTGAGATGGTCAAGCACCTCACTTATGGTGGATTGATCCACCTAAAAACAGTTTAAATGGGCATTGCACGACGCAGGGGTGCTGAAAAAAACTGACGTGCATCTCAGCACCATGTAACCGTCCAAAGTCGATCGCATAGCCATTGTATCTTATTTTTTCATTATGAAGCTGTGTTCCTCTCATAGAAAACGGCAGGACTTTTTTTTTGTCACCCTATATACTACCACATTTCCCCATCTTTGTATCCCTCTGGATCAGGGCCTCCGAGGAATGGGGCTAGTGATAAGATAAGTACATCCGCAAAATTGTTAGAGATATGTTACTGTAGTACATATACTCATACGTGGGGTAACAATGGCTTCACGGCTGAGCCCAGTTTACTTTCTTTTGACATCATGTCAACGCGTCGAAGAAAATCTTTGACCATTCAAGTGTAACAGGCCATCCTGAACATGCAAAAAAAGGAGAGAACGATTCACGACACAGCACGGATTTTGATGGTCAGCTAGGGCTTCGGTTTCCAACGTTCGGAAGAGGAAACACGCGAACGAGATGGGGAAGAGGGGACCGATGAGGATCCAATGGTGGGGCCAGCAATTTTCCGTACTTCCAAGCTAAGATTTAAGGGCAAGGAGAACACTAGGCTCATCCACAATGCGATTGTCTCACGTATTGGTACAGTAGTCTTGTATATTTCAGTGACATCTCTCTAAAAAAAAAAAAAAAAAAAAAACTTTTAGATTTACTATACAAAACAAGCCGAGTCTGTGTTCATTAACCCTTTCGTGCATGGTGTCCACTGTAGTGGACGGCAAAATTTTTGGCGATAATTATTAGTTTTCAGTCATGGTACTCATACCTCGAAACTTTTGGTGCTTGCAGTCAACTCAAAGGCACATAATCTGTTCAGAGTTGCTTTCTAGCAGTAGAACATTCGACTACTACGGCAGAGTACCTCCTTAAACGTTAAACCATAAATGGCATATTTTTGTTTTGCTTTAAAAATTCATGCACGAAAGAGCTAATGGATTCCTGAGTGACACCACTTGCTTTCTCTCAGCTGGTTGCGGCAGAATGATCCATGCCACGCGCATGTCCCGTGGCAGTCTATTATCTCGTTCCCACGCGAGCATCTCGTGGTCTCCTGTACCCCTGACGCCCGCGGTTCTCACCCAGGCATGAATTTGTCTCGTTCTGCTTTCTTTCAATCTCCTAAACTTCCGCAGGTAAAATGCGACCGAATTCTATGTTCGATCTACTGGACACAGTTCTTGCTTTCAACTCCAATCTAGCTTTAAAGTAGGTTTGCGTAGGCCTAACCAATCACAGGGCAACATGGTTTCACAAAAGTACGTTTTTGGTGCTCCTAGGCCAGCGCTAGTTGCTGATAATATTGCTTCTACCATGCCAGAGCTTTACCGCATCGCTCCACCGGCTGAGAGCCCACTCCGCAATTTACGACTGGAAGACATTACCAGAGTGAGTTGTAATGGGGAAGTAACAGGGTAGACCTATCATATATATTGTAAGTATTGCTCTTAGGGATTTAATCTTTCACATTACAGACTGTGCTGATGGTTCTGCAAGAGAAGGCCAGACAGGTCACCTCTATTGAAGAACGATGTGTGTTGTTTCAAGCCTATAAGATTCTGACTGGAGGTGGTTCTGATCACACATGTAGTGTTGAGACAGAAAATGATTATTGCAATGCAAGTCAACCCCACTGTGATGCAAACACCCATGAGGAAATTTCAGATATGTCTATTGCAGTCAGTACATCAGATCACGAAGAATCACAGATGGATAATAGTTGCCAGACTGATGAAGTCATTGTTTTAAGTGATGCTGCTGTACAAACTATGATTACATCTATATCCACTGCCACTTCCACTGCTGATCTTAAAAAGATGATCAGTAGTGAGTCTCAGACATTATTGAAATCCACAAGGTGCATTGGAACTAATACAGATGAAGAAATAGAAGAGTTGACCACTCTGAGTTGTGACCTCCCTGAGTCAACTCCAGGATTTAGTGCAAAACCAGAAAAGCCCCCTGGACCTCCTGTTACCATGAAGCATGAGGTTTTTTCTCTTGTGACAGACTCAAATTCCCCAAAAAAAGAGTCTCTGCATGAGGGGAAGGTGTTGAATTTAGCCATAAAGGTTGAAGAGCACTTTCAACTTAGCACAGATCCTAGAAAATCAAAGCCAGTGTTGGAGAGGAAGGTGGTAAATCTCCCAATTCCAGGTTTTGCCATGAATGCAGGGCCAAGTTTTCGATGGGCAAGGTGCCAGGACAAGAAGCATTACCACATAAAATATGATAATGCTGTAGCATCTTGTTCCTCAGTTGAACAGAGATCTCACCATGGTAGTTCACCTCCAAGCCTGCAATTTCCATCTTCACTAACAACAGCATTATTTCCAATATCAGAAATTGAGGAGAATGGAATCCCTGATAGGACCATGAGAGACAGGATTCCATCTGGGTCATCACCTTTTGAGTCACCTGGAAACCAGATTACATGGAATGATGAGACATGCACAGCTGTTGAAAGAGTTCTTGATATATCAGCTGAGCTTTTTGACCGTGGTCTTAGTCAATCATCTTGGCTTTCAGACTCTGCTTCACATCTACCTCTGGAACATTCCAATCATACCCATGATAGCACTGATTCAGCTATTTTTGTAGATGAGTCAGTGCTTAAATCCAGATGGACATCATTCCTGCCATAGCAACATAAATCCAATTGTGCCATGAGGGCACAATCAAAGAATTGCTGCCCAACCATTTTTGGTGTGAAATATAAATGAGGATATCAGGATGTCAACTCATAAAAAATGTCTGTTTTACAACATATATTTCTTGTGCATTAGAATAGAAAGACGTTTTGAGGCTGAAGAGAGAAGTTATTTTCCATCAACCCGATATTTTTTTGTTGGTTATTGTTGTGGCATGTAATGTTCACTTTTTTATATCTAAATATTGCATAGCTTTCTCATATACCATAACCAAGGCATGTAAAAAGCTCAGACCTGTTGCAAGGTTTTTTTTTTTTTCTTTTATAAGGGATCTCAAGAGCCAGAGAGCCATAATTGAATAAATAAAATGCAATAAATGAAATGAAATAAAACTTGATTTGTTGTAGCAATCCTAAGTTTAGCTTTGCCAATAGAAAAACTGTTTGATCAAGGAATGAAGAAGTCAGGAAAATTGTGGAATTTTCTTAAATGCAGAATCCTATCACCCCCTTTATGGGGGGGGGGGGGAACATGCCTTTCTGTGATTTTGTGACTTCTTCCATTTTCTAGGAAATAAACCAGATGCTTTTTTCACTTTTTGATGTGTTCCTGTATAATATGATCAGCTCATTTAAATTTATTCTCCATGGAGGTTAAAACTTACATTTGCATCAGCTTTAAACATATGTTATTGTATGTTAGCCCATATCCAAATAGGCAGAGCAGAGAAGAAACCTCATGAAAACATTACAAAGTATCTTTTGACATCGCTCTATTTTTTATGATAAAACTAAGGTTAACTTATTAGTTCAAAATGGAACCAGATGAACACAGTCACTTTGCACCGAAGATACATGTCACTGTATTTTTAATGATGATCCTACTTAAGGCACAAAAAACTGCTGCTCCAGCCTTTGCTGAAGTGAAACGAGAGGCATGGAAGACATTCGGTGAAGAAACCGAACATGACTACCGAACTGCTAATACAGTGTTATGGCAAACCACTCGAAGGCTACGGTATGGCGGGCGGCATCAGAGGCGTAGGGAAGGGGAGGGGGGGGGGGGGGGGGGGGGTAAGGGGGTAGAAGCCCCCCCCCCTTGGGCTGGGGGGGGGGGGGGGGGGGGGGGGGGGGGGGGGGGTGGGGGGGTTAAGGGGTTAGAAGCCCCATCCCCTTGGACTTCCCAGTCAGTGACACTGACAGACCCTATATTTCAGTCTTCCTTGGGAATTCCAATTTTAGCTATCCCCCTTTGAGGAAAGTCCGATGTCTGTCCACAGACCCAAGATGCCAGATCACGATTTCCTCGAAAAGGTAAATTCCAGGTTATGGAGCTAGGCGTAGAGTTGGGGTATCTACCGGCCTCATCCCCCTCCTTCCCTTGCCGATTTCCTGCCTACGCCACTGGGTGGAATACTCTCCGGATCATAAAAGGTTGAAGCAGGAATACTCTTGAGGTAGAGGGAACGATCCCGTCATCAGATGGGAGAATTCGCGACTCTAGTACAATGTAGAAAATATAACCGAAGACAAAGAGTATTTTTCTTCTATGTCCATGAGAATGCCTCCTGAGCTGAAGACCCTTCTTGGTCTGCTGGAAGAGAGGGCAGGACACAAACCATGCATTTCCCCCTGTTCAAATGGTGGCAGTGGCATTGAGTTGGGTAAATACATACTCCATACAAATATTCTGTATATCCCAAATACGTACAAATCAAACAGCACTCTTCTAAAGGAGGGGACGACTCAGGTTTTTGCACTCGAAGAACAAGTGCTTCTCAACTTGAGAAATTAAAATATAAAATTCATGGATTGAAACAATAGAAAATAATCAGGAATATAATTGATATCGAGACCTTTCTTGGAGATTTATTTACTATAGCTATGTATATCGTTCATGGAGATTCAATGGTGATGATTGATATCATCTGCCGCCGAAGTCATTCCACCTAAAGAACCGCCAAATTGAGTATCCAAGGATTCCCTAACTTGCAGTCAATAGCTATGCAGCAAAACCACTGCGAAGATGCGACAAAATGACTCGTCCGATTCTTTGCGAAGCGTATGGGGCCATGCACACCGGTGTACGAAGAAATGCCAAATTCCAATTTGCCTAATTACATACATGTAGAATGCTCGAAATGCCTAAGAGCTAAAATGAAGAACCAATGTGTCTTGAGATTTTCTGCAAATAAGACAGTACACTAAAGGGAAGACAGCATTGTATACTTGTCCATGCAATGTACCAGGTGTTGCACATAGATAGCTCCCCCTCCACAGCTTAAACTATAGGAGATAGGAAAACATATTTAATATATTTGGAATCTTTGTTCAATTTTGAATATATTCCATCCATTTTTTCCCCCGTCATATGATGGTGAAGAACTTAAATTCATTGATCGCATCCATGCTATTACGTTTCGAGCTCATGATGCCAGAGCTGAATTCGTTACCCATTCATGGATTTCGAAAAAGATTAAACGTTCAACTTCTGATGAAGCCCTTTTTTTCAAAGCTTTGATCACACGGCAATTGTTGCAAGACTCAGGTATTGATTTTTTTTTGGAAATGCGGAATGGTCAGGAAACTCTACTGATCTGAATGTGGCTGAAAACATTGGGCTTATCCTGAATGTAACGCGCAACTTTTTTGCAAAATGCGTGCCATAGGCAAGAAAATGCTGCTGATTGCACGCCTTGAGCAATCGCTAAATTTATTTCATCCACTGTCAATTACATTGAAAACATATGACAATTTTGTCGAAATTAAGGGTCCGTGTCAAAAGGAATTAGTGGCTATTTAACAATGCCTTCAACCAAGCAATATTCAGTTAGTGATTCAGACAAGTGTGACCAGAGTGAAAAAAAGAACCCTATAGGATCCTATAGGATTTTTCCGTAAGGGATGAGCACTCATATCTAATCCCTCCTTTCTTACAAGAGCATCTTGAAGTTTGGCACTTGGTCTGACATTGGCATCTGAAGCCCCCACCTATTGAGGTGGCAGCAATGATTTCGCGCAATGGTTTCTCTTCGGCGTTGATGTCTTGCATTTTTTTATTATCTTCGCTTTTACCGATTCCACCGTGTTTCTTTCCATTCAGATGTTGATTGTCCCACCTCTTGTTCCAATCTTGTACATCCCGTATTTCCTTTCCATAACCAATCCAATTATGTTTGGGGTATCAATATCAAATTCGGCCCCGATCAAATTCGAAGACATGGACAGTTACGTTGTCGCCAACTTACAATTCTTGGAGAGACTGAGCATTTGGTGTGCTTGTAGCCCGAGTCCTTGTCGCGCCAGGACACACTCATGAGATATCTCCGAATCATGGTCATCACATGCAAATTCAGTGCTTCCCTGATTTTGGCTTAATGAGGCAGCAAGAGTATTTGGGGAAACACGGTCACTGGGGTCTGCAGTCACATCCACAGAGAGAGTCTCGCCTTCTACAAAGACCCCTTCCACATCGTTAGATTCCTTCAAAGCTGCTGGAGGCGAATCTTGTTCGACCATTTAAGCCAGGACTTCCCTGATACCCGACTGGGGCGAGTCGAGTATTGCGCTTATAATAATGGAGAACCGCAAGCCGATTTTGGGCTCCTGACCGAACATGACTCGATATGGCACTCTTGTGGTCCCACAGTGCTGTTCCGTATTCTACCACTGAACAATGCTCAAGTCAACTGACCATTTGTTGGTATTGTTGTTCTCCAGGCATCCAGGCCCTGAGCTTGTGTTTGATGACTCCGTTGGCCCTCTACACTGATCCCTGGCTTTGAGGATGTCTGGGTCTGGATGCCTGGCTTTTCTTTGTAAAGGGTTCATCCACTGCCAAGGTTAACCCCTTTCATCCTCAATACCAGCTTTCATTGCCACTGGCACTGTCTGACCCTGCTTCTTCTTTTCCTTTTGTGTAGCCCTGATACTCTTCACTTCTTTAATTCGATCAGAGATCGAACGGTTGCGCGTAACTCTGCTAATCGTTTTCGTGCTGTGGGTGTCCATATCTGCGGTTCTGTCTATTTTAGCAATATAATTATCATTAATTTGGTCGGTCATATTACACTTTGACGAAACACAACTCCATTCTGAAGTCTGAATCTTCTGAATTGTACATGCATTGAAGATACCGACTAAATTTTTGCGTTTGGAAATTCATTAATATGTGGAATATTGATATTTTATTGCTTAATACAAGCATATAATAGAAATAGCGATATTTATGAGTCAAATGTGAGATATGCATAGGTCTGGTTGTTTAACCAAGATTCCCATCGCTGTAATTTCAGTCATACTTTTCGTTTGGGAATTTGCGGAATTCAAAAGTTAAAAAAAAAAACAAAAAACACACAGACATGAAAAGTAAAAGTAACAACGCGAGTAATATATCAATGGAAAGCGCTCGGGGAGAGCTTTCATTTGACACTAGTTTTAAGTTTATATCATGCTTAAAACAGGAAGTACGATCCGCCAAAGTTGGTGAAAATAGGCAATTTTGGACTTTTCAATTTAATTTTAAATTTGTATTAAAAAACGTAGGAAGTTGACATTTAGTTCTGGAATTGCCACTGTCTTAGTCTACAAAGTTGCGAAAGGTCGTGGTGTTACCATGCATCCTAGTGTTAATAATTTGCGTGCAAAATTCTGCAATATTAACAATTTTGGAAATTGTTAATATTGCAATTTGTAAATTGCTGTAATTTGTAAATTTGTAAATACTCAATTTGTAAATAACGCAGTAGAAAATGCATTTAATAATGCGATTCTACATTGTCTCAGCTTTACTCTCCAAAAGCGCGTTTCTAGCTCGACGAGGACCAAAGATAGCGCTTAAACTCTAAAGGCCACTTTTCCTCTTGGGGGTGAAGTTAGGGGTCGCAAATCTGGAGATCCGTTAGAACCAGAGAGCCAAAATGTTGGATTTTTTTTCATAAGTCTTGATTGCCAGCATGCAATAATTTTTTCAAGCAAATCGGAGTCTGAAGCCCGACGAAAGTGACTAAAATTTGACCACCTGAGCTGGAACGCCTCTATACAGTTGCAAAAAAGCGCTCTCCTGTACACTCGGGGAGACGTAAAACGTTCTGTTCCCAAACCACCTGGAGGAGTTCGCAAGATGTTTCAGATTCGTTGCTGTGGAAAAAAAAAACAAACAAAATTCGATCTCGGCCAGGTTGGTCAAAAATTAGCCATGGGTCATCACCTATGATAACTAAGTTCTGATAACTAAGAGGAAGGACAAGATCTGTGGGCGTAGCAGGCGATGTGGGTTGATTTTTTCCTTCTTTCTCTCTGCACAGTGCGCTGCAGAGCCGTTGTGGTGGGTAGATATGGTCGAGCCTCACGAGGAACATCTGATACCTGAAAGCGGAGCATCAGTGCACTCGTTGAAACTTAGCTTATGAATATTACCCTTGCAAAGGCATACTTACAGTAATTACAGCATGGTTGATGGCCGACACCGTTGCCACAACGCAATCTGCCTCGACGAGATTCTTTAGTTTGTTTCTCACGTGAAAGGTTTCAATTTCGCTTCCTGTTCACGGAGCATGATCTGGATGAACGATCGGGGGTTCTTTGCGGAGGGAAGTTCCATCCGTCACTGCTCTCACACAACAGCCAACTTCTGCACATATCCGATATGTAACCGTCCCCACTGCTTTGTCTTTCCTATATATGTATTTGTGAAGGAGCAATAGGCTAAGTCACGAACTCCATTCCAACCGCAAGACTACTGTCACACCATGCAAGAAAAGGGGTGAGAAAATACTGTAGGTCTCGCCATCGGTGTGTGACAGAACCTCAGTCAGATACGAATCTTCCTGTCTGACGGTCTTGACCTCGCATTCATCTATCCGTCTGGGTTTATGGCTTTTTTTTTTAAGATTATAGATGATGTTACCATCGGTGTATTCCACGTTCGGGGAAGTGAGGGATTCGACATTTATTCAACATTTTCATCAATTCGCTATTCCGCGCATTCGTTGTTCGCTATTCCGGCGGTCGGCATTTCGTTCTAGACCCATGCACACTGGCTGCGTTGCGAACTTCGCAGACGGTCGTAGTGCGGCTTTGCCGCAGTCAGTGTGCATCGGCCTTATTGCGATCAACTTCGAAGGTCTCACGCATCTCGAATGATACCGATTGTAACGAACTGCGACGGTAGCAGTGGTCTCAACGCAGCTTTTCGTCGTCAGTGTGCATGGACCGAACCGCATGGAAATCGGGGATGGCACCCATGTATTGGCAGGCCGGTGTGGTGGTTCCTCAATTTAAGAAAGGGGACACGAGAAAGAGTACCAACTACCGTGGAATCACTCTCTTCACTATCGACATTAAATATTAATTGAGATTGATAATGAATTGGAAGCTTATGAGCTTCTATGCTGCTCCCCTTCAGCTTCAGAAAAAAATATTGCATTGATAAATGCAAGAAGCAGGCATTATTTCAGACCATGAAGACGAGGAGTCATGAATTCAATTGCAGAATGACAATTGTGACATGCATGAACAGAAAAAGCAGGGCAAGAACCATGTATATGTTGATTACAAGGGTGAGGCCAGCAGCATATGCCGCTATTGAATCACAGCAGGGGAGATTGTATTGTCATGATGACTCTTCCATCAGTACAAAAGATGGGATTTCCTCTTCTGTGTATACAAGATGCTCAAAAATTTCTTTCACTGTTCAGGCAGTTCTGGAGTGACACGAGATAAAGAGAATTTGTGGTTGGACCAATAAGACCATGTGGAAACAGTCCCAATGAACATACCATGTGTTATAACGGCACCAACATCATGTCATGAGCCCTCACAGTAGAGATGAAGGCCATCACAAACATTCCCTGAATTGAAAGACAGCTTATATGGAGAGATTCACCTCAATTCTCAACAAATGCTATAGGCAGCAGTGTGGAATATGCTGCTTTGCCTAAAGACCATTGTAACCACTATTGAAACCCAGAAAAAGCAACTGCTAAAATCTCCAGGGCTACATGTTGTGGTTTTTGACACAATGGTAGTACCATTGATTTGTTTATGCAGTTTCATAGTCTAATTGGTTTAATACCCGATTTTCTTCACCTCATGTCCCTCTGTGTCCTACAGCTGTTTAAAAGGGTTAGAACACCATGTACATAATTGGAAAAATTCACCTGAACATGGGACTGCTCCAGTAAAACCACAATACCTACATCAAACTCAGGCAATATATCTTTGCTAGATTTCAAACTGAAGGCAGAAGTTTAACATCATGAATAAGTAAAGAGAAAAAGAGGCAAGTCAAAAGATGTGACTTTTATTTCTCATGGTCACCAGCAACCCAACAGGAACTCCTTTTACTTGCATGTAAAGATCACAGAGATAAATTGACTACATGGATCATTTCTGCTCCATGTATCTGTAACATCCTCAGGCATCTGTAGGCTTCTCTTGCTCAAAATGCAATAAATATGAAAAAGACTTCTGTTTCCAGACAGCATGAACACTCAGCAAAAAAAGATTCTACAGCAAAGTCATATTCACTGCAATAACACAAAGGCCAAGACAACCACAAAAGAACAATAATGCCATGGATATGAAATAACAGTGAACTTCTCTTGTACCTCAAAGAAGGCAATAAACAATCCTAATTGAATGAATCCTGACTGGATTCAAACAAAACCTGCTGGGTGTCTTGAAATGAGCAGAATGCAAAGGCTCTTGTGGATGCATCAAGCTAAAAAAGGCACTAATGAATGTAGTAAAGGGAGTCATAAGTGATCTTCTGCTTCATGATGGCCCCCAGGACGAATTCCACATGGAAAACATCTGTAAAAAAAAAAAAATTACTAAGTACAGTGCTTTTTTTTATTGTGTGTGTTTTTCAGAAGACATATCTGTGGTACATTTAAATGACATGTTAGGTATAATATCTCAGACATGTGTCTGAGATATTATACTCTGGTTGATACTTCATACTTTTTTCCTTCCCACAGCTTGAATTGAATTTTTCATCATGCACATTTCATGATTGCAATTGCAGAAGAATATGACTTCTGAATTCTGAAGTAAAACAGAGAAGATCTGATCCAAAATGGAAAAAGTTAAATGCTTGTGTACTCCTTTTAGCTTCACACGATAATTCTATGGTTTTGTTGCAGAGAAATTCAAAGACCTTCTGAGAGTCCTATATTTCACTGTAGCTATACTTACAAAGTAGAAAAGTGAAAGCACTAAACCTAATATTTAACAAAGCAATTTTGATAAAACAGCCTTATATGTACCTGAAAGTGATGCATTTCTCAAGGAACTAACATTTTTAATGTAGAACTCTCATTAACAGAAGTCATGGGTTTCATAGCTAGCATGCACATATTTCACATTTCTGGCTCATGAAGGTCTTGATGAAAACTCTTTTGATGACTATTTCTGCAAGCCGGCATACAGTTTCACAGTTTTTTATGCCTTCACTTCAGCCAATCTGGGTTACTTATAAGGTACAAGCAATTCTTGGATCAGGGTACAGAAAAGATAAGAATAGGTTGCAGTTCTAGGGTTAAAATCTTCAAAATTCAAAATATCTTTAATGTTGAAGTATACATGCATGCTTCTATGTCCCATTCCCACTTCAAGTGAATGAATCATATGAGAGAGAGAAGGTCAGAAATAGTTAATTTCAGCATCTATTTTTTGCTCATTTATAGGATGGGCCAAAAAACCAGGCACAGGTCTTCAATAATTAATTTGCAAGTGAAGAAAGTGGAGATCCACTGGATTACTGTGTGACTGAGTATTCCAAATCGTTGGCAATGTCACTGATAGGAAATGTCCCATATGGTCTCTGCTGTTTTGCAAAATGACAGTCTAATGTGACTCAAATTTGTGAACAGCCCATTTTGAAATTATTAGATGGCATCCAACTTCCAGGCAATCATCACTTGCAGTTTCTGCAAATTCTTTAACGAGTCTTCCAGTAAACTATTTCCTAAAGTTTACTATAAATTCCTTTTTTTTTTAAATGGCAAAAATTGGGACTGTTCAGTGATCATGCTTCAGGTCATCAAGACATGAAGTCTGGCATGTGCTGATGCATGACAGGATAAATTACTTGACCCCTTAACTGTGTAGGGTGTATTATTATGCCACAATCTGTACTGAAGAATAGGAATGGGTGGTGGAAATAGCACTGTTAAGGGGTTAAGACCTACAGAATGTGGTACTGTCTTTCTGGAAGATAAATCAATTGCCAAGGAAGACACTAGATTTCAGTGAGCCAGCAATCTGACAAATCATTTCTGATTGAAACTGAGGATACACAAATAATGATACTTAGCACCAGTACTAGCTGAAATCAAGTAGATTGGCCAGGATTGGTATTGGCTGATACCAATAAGGTCAATCTGACCTGATTCTCCACTGTCACACGTTGCAATTCCTCCAACAAGTATGCCTTCAGAGAGCATCTTTAGTTGCTCTGGTGTAATTTGCTACTCTGAGAGAAAAAGGTTGAATAAGAAGATATTGACATGCTCGCATATTTTTAAATGAACAAGTCTCTCTTGCCTTTCTCTGTCACATGAATAAAATCTCAGGAAGCCAGAGATTAGAGTGTTTCATTTCTGGGTTCTGACAGCCATTGGGAGGTATCAGTATTGGTAATGGGCACACATTAGCAAAAACCACTGAATATAGGATGCTACCAATAAGTGATATTTTTGCAAGGATATTGAAGAGTGGCATTCATGTTTACCAACTGTTCTTCAATATGGTATAAGCCACAACAAGGATATTTCTCACCAACTTAGATGGAGAATTGGTGTAAGTGCACTGTCTATCAATGGGGTTTAACTCCTTCCTCCTCAGAAAAACTAATAAAATCACCATGATTAGCTTTTTCCCTCCCTGTATAATTCATATAAACTAGTTTCTTAAATTTAAACTAGGTGGATCTTAAATCTGAAATATCTAGAAGGACTATGGGATCAAAATAACTTGTTTCTTTTAAACAGATATTCTATTCTAGGGAAGGAGAACTTCCAGAAGACAAAGTTGATCAGTCTTATCATGAGAAATGTCACAATCCGGCCAAACTTATAAAGCAATAATTAACACTATTGAGTATGATGTAGTGAAGATTGCTTGCTCTTTTTTAGATGATCTAGGGCAGTGTGTCTCAACCTTTGTTGTGGCACACCAGTTACAAAGCACTGATCTAGGGGAATAAGAGTGATACCAATACTTCAGGTGAGCTTTGCATCCTAATACCATTGTTTCTCATGATTGAATGCAACAGGAACTTTCCTGTGACTCCATGTTCTCTTTGGTGTGATACAATGGCACCATGGAGTGACAAAAGGGCACAGCACTATTCCAATGATAAATATAGCAATTGATTCTACCCTAGGAAAGAAGAAAAACAGTAACAAAAATCTCTATAAACATTGAATAGGCATGGAAAATATATAATTGTAATTTTTTTGCAGTGTTCTGAGTGCCCTTTTGTGCTGATCCCTGGATTAATCAATTGAACATTATAATTATAAATAATTATAAATTAGTCTTTGAATACCCAATAGTTCCTTCAGTGCTACACCACTAGATTTCAGCAAACCAATTCTGTTCTGTACATTAACATGCATCATGCATATTGCAAAAATAACTAACTTCAAAATATGACTCACCAATGTGTGCCTTTGTAACTTCGCTGAGCATATGCATATCAGCAAGGCAAGATATGATTATGTAATTCAGGCCAGTACGGTTCATTTCCTTGATTTTCTTCACAGATGACCTCTGCTTCTTCACAATCCCTCCAGCACTTTCAATGATCAGGGTCATTTGCACAGGAGTAGGGATAATGGAAGGAGTCAGGTAAAAAGTGAGACCCTGCAAATAGAGATATTCAAAAGTGAAAGAGCTCAATATGGCAATCCATTATGTAAAGTAATACACAGGGTATGGCAAAAAAAAAAAGGCCAGCAACTTTCCACCTAAACATCTCTGCTCACAATGAAGCCATTTTTGTGAAACTCTCACTATGCATATACAGGGTGGGCAAAAAAAAACCGCCCAAATTTGAAGTTTAATAATTTGGGCCAATATCAATTTTTCAAAAAGCAAAATGAAGCTTGTTCAATTTTCTTTCGAATGATATATAATTTTGGGGGGTTTGCTTCAGAGAAATGGCAGCTATTACAGTTTAAAAAAAAAGTGACAAAAATTTTTCCTGAAAATGGGCTTTTACTCCAAGTTCCTTTTCCTCAACCTCGAATTTATCACTCACATGCACACAGACCTTTTTAATGACCCAAAAACAGTTCAATGTGCCCTCCTCCACAATCTAAAATAGCCTCATGTTACTTGCCTCATGATCACATGATCTCTCATCAACCAATTCGTATCATGCAGGGGCATGTGGGAGAAGGGGGTGTGCAGGAAAAACAGGCGACAGCAGCAGCGGGACATTGGAAAGAACTCAGGAAAGCTGTTTTCAGGAAATTTTTTCGTCATTTTTTTTTAAACTGTAATAGCAGCCATTTCTCTTCATTCTGCTGGAAGCAGAATGGAGGTAACACTAGAGTGCTGTCCCTCCTGGTCACCAAGACCACAACAACAACAAACTCCTCTTCCATTTAAGTTCATTCTTTGGGCTGGTTGTCTTTTGCAGATGGTTTTCATTCTGAATGAATAAATGAGTATCAATATACAAAGACTTTTCAAATATTTAACTTAAAATTTCCCTTGGTTTACATCAGGGATGTACAACTCACAGCCTCCATATAGTTCATGAACCTGTTTCTAGCAACCCATTAATGGGTAATGGGATAATAGATAAAATATGTTCCTTTGTGACCCAAGGCCCATCACAACTTTGATCATCCCTTACTAACTAGAAATGAACTGAGAGTCCTTTCACTTTCTTCCCCTAATTATTATTCACTCTGGTGGTGTTGCAAATGTCCTGAGGAAGGAGATTCTCAATGACAAGGCTATTTCTGGGCATTGGAATTTCTTGGGAGTGGGGAAGAGGTGAGGGTCACTGGTCAATCAGCAGGACCTTATGCCTTTATATGCCCTAAAGGCACAAGAAGGGAGCCTTTTCTTTTGCATTCAATGGCCTGTGTGAAGAGTTAGGCATTTCCATGTGACCCACTGCCAATAAAGGTTGCACACCCTTGGTTTACATGAAACCGGGTCTGTAATATCTGACAAAAAAGATATCAACAACTTTGAGTGTATCTCATGATTGCTCAAGTCATACCTAACAAAATGTGCTGTGGATGAAGCATGCCTTCATTTATTTGAAAGTTAACAAGGCTGCCGAAATCCATTATTTTAGATCAAAGTTATAAATGATATTCCATGACAAATCTGACATCTGAAGTCACAGTTCCTTCATAAAGCCATGGGAAATTTTGAATAACTTTAAGAAAACTCTTTGGATTGATACTCATCGATTAATTTGCTATTCATTGAGAAGCTTACCAAAACCATCTGCAAGAGAAAACCAGCCCAAAGAATGAATTTAAATGCAAGAAGAGTTTGATATGGTCTTGATGACCAGGAGGGACTGCATTCAAATGTGACTTCCACTCCACTACCAGGAGCTCTTGCCCATTCTCAATGTCTAACTTCTTTTTAACATTTGCTGATAGCATCATTTTGGCTCAATAAATTCAGATGAAATTTTCCGGATCAGTTGGAAACATGCTCATATATGCATAGTGAAAGTTTTGCAAAAAATAGCTGGAGTTATTGCTGGGGTATTGGGAACTGAGGTATAAAAGTTAAGAGTTTCATTTTTTTCACCATACCCTGTATATCAAACATAGTCTTACCTTGAATAATTCCATCCTCTGAGGTCTAGGCCTTGACAGAACTAACTTGATGCTGAAGTTGAACTTCTTCTCAAAGACAGGATCAGACACTATGTATGGTGCCTCATCTTATAATTAAAAAAAAAGAAGCAAATCAGAATGCAATACAGTGAATCAGTGAAATGTGTTAGACTATATGAAGAAATTAAGAAGTGTGTATTCATCATCTTACCTATGAGTCTCCCTTGAGCAACAGAGTCCTCTGCCCACTGTTTAGTCACAATATATGTGCATCTGGCTAGAGCACACATGAGTTTTGGGACTCTAGCAACTCTTTCCATCACCAGATGAGTGGCATTGGCTCCTGTCATATCAACATGAACTCCAAGGCCGAACATTTTCTGTATTGTGGGGAGAAGGAAACCAAGAAACTGTCACTGGATGTCAATAAATTTGTTAAACTTTTGCATCTACTAAGTTCTGTTGATTTCTAGTGACACCAATCTTCCTTCTTTCTTGAGGATCTTCCTAAACTTGTTATACATTCAAAAAGAGCCAGTTTTGATGTGTTTTTTTTTCCCATAAATAATTTGAAATGAGTACTGAATGACTATGGGTTGAAAATAAAGTTGACTCAGTGAGGCCGTGTAATTCTAATAGCCCAGCAACATTGGCCTATCATGCCACTTGAAGCAGGGTATATAGCACAGCTATGGGGAAGTCAAGACTACTGGTTCAGTTTACGCTCTTAAGTGAAGTAAGTGACCCAAAACTCCATCAGTATTCATTACATTAGTGTCATGCTACAGAATGTGATAATTTTGAATTTGATTAGAGGATTAGAGAAGACTGTCAGGATATATTCAGTTGATTTTCATATTTCTTTTTTTTGGGAATTCCTGCTTATTACCGAAAATTTATTTTCAAGAACCACAGAACTTATTGGATGCAAGACATTTAGATACATCAGGCCTACCTTCATGAGGGACTGGAGGGCTTCTGCATCTTGGAAGCAAGAGAAAGTAACACAGGGATGGGGCTTCCCATCCTCCTCAGGAAGAGGAGGCAATTCCAGTTTCACTCTCTTGCTTGCAATTTCTTGAATGTTCCCTTGCTGCTCCAATGGCCTTTTGCGTTTGAGCAATTTGGGTGGGGGCTGAGCTTTGAAGCGACGGAGCACTTCCTGAGTAACTTCAATTGGCTGCTTCCAGGGTGCTTCATAGGAAAAAATAAAATTCAGACTTATTGACCTATATTTTAAGAAAACCTGATCCTGTCATTGAATGATGCAGGCTTCCCTACCCATGAGTTCAGGAGCCAGCAAGTAATCAATTCGAAAGATATCCTCATTGTTGAAGAGTTGATACTTTGGATTCCATGGGAAGTTGAGAGCAGCAAAGTGCCCCAAGAGGAGTTCATTCAACCATGCAACATTCACCACTGGCTTCTTCCATTCACGAGCTTTCTTGAATTTTGTACCTTCAGGTCTATGAGAATGGATTCCAGGAATGCATATAATATTCAATATACATGCCCCCTACAGAGACATTGGACTTACTTCTTGCAAATGAGAATGCTATTATGCTGTGAGAAATATTGTGTATATTTTGCACCAAGGGCCTTAATCATCTGCATGACTCTCCTTTTCTCCTGGCCTTGAAATCCCGTAGATGACATAACAAGGCGTCTTAGAGGATGTTGTCCTTGACTGAAAAGAACAAGGTACAGCCTCAACTTTTTTTCCTGTTTTCCAGAATATGAAGGTTATGTGTCTTAGAAAAGCCATTGAGAGACAAGAATCATTTTCTGCTTCTTTTCTCATAAATTTTTTCAGAAGATGAGGGAATAAAAAACTATCTCAGAAATGAACGTAATTCTTATTTAAATGAGGATGGTGATGACTCAAGTGTTTCTCAATATAGGATGTGATGTGAAGTGATGAAAGCCTAAGAATGCCCTAAAACAAATTTATATAAATTCTTATAAAAAAAAAAGAGATGCAAATATTAATAGATTGATATGTAAGCACAACAAACCTCATAGGTAAAGGGAAATGCAGAGCCTGCCAAGGGGGCATCAGAGTCTTCTCTTCCATTACGTCATTCAGCCATCGCAGACTGACAACTCGCTTCCCATCCCGTAATGCCTACACCACATAGAGAAAAGTTGCAATGATTTTGTTTAGCCAAACAGTAATAAAAAGTAGTCAGACAAGGGACTCACTCTTGTGGCAGCAGGATGCTTGAGGTATGAGCAGATGAGATGGGTGACAGAAGGAGAATATTGTTCTTGAACCTCACCAGCATGTGCAGCTATCACTTTGCAAATCTTGGAATGATTCTTAACAATGAACTCGTCATCAGCAATGATACAGAACACGCACCCCAGCAGGAAGAGATCTGGAGGAACTGCAAGAACATGCAATGCAGGTATAGATCAGTGATAAACTCAAACTCCACCTTAACCCTTTCACACCTGAATTAAGGCCGCTATCGGAATAATATACTTTGTTGCATTTTTGAGCTTCTCTGTGATTGTAATTGAAATTTTCATGCTTTATATATAGTTTTCATAATTTGTATAAATTTACCATATCATACCATTTATTATATATTAAACATTTATTTAAATAACTGAAGCTTACAAAACTAATGGATGAAAGAAGGCCTCTGACAGAACTGAGCCATGCAGAATTGCGCCCTTTGTAGCATAATATGGAGCACAAAGTCACAAAAATCCCAAGAAATTGCCATAGACACAATGTAAATATAATGTCCATTGGAATGGATGCCAGGTCTGAAAGGGTTAAGAGGTGAACTGAACAAAATTTGAAAGAACCTTTTCTCATCTTCATGCTCTTATAATATTACTGATATAATTGGGGCATATAAATTTTTTCTTAGGTTGCATATTTTTATGGGTGTACCAAGCATGATTGAAATGCAATATATACCTTATATACTTACTCTGTAAGTCCATCTATCTGAGTAAACAGGTTTTAGAGTTATCTAGGTTTGGGAACATAAGTCACTCACGTTTTATGTTTAATTCATGTCCATAAAACTGAACTTTGGGGACATGGACCGGGGCACTTCTTGGTTGATTGGTGGAAGGAATTCCAATTCTAATGGCAGGTTGCTGAACTCGCAGAACAGGACGCATTGGTTGGGACTGGGGCCCAATAGGCATCCTTGGGGATGTGCTTGTAACAGGAACTCCAACTGGTCCAACCCCTAAAGTCAACCTCTGGCCACTTGGGGAGTGCTGCTGATAGGTTGCCAATTGGCTATCAGCTAGCCCTTGCTGCAAGGAGAGATGTGCGTAACACTACTTGCATATACTGTACCAGGGTGCAAAATTAAGGACCACAGCAACCATTCTTAGTTGTCAATGCAAACATACAGATGGTAAAGGAAACTTTATAGTCCAATAGGAAAGATTTTGACTTAGACTATCCTGAACTGAAGCAACATCACTTGGGCTCATGAGAAGAAAACAAAACAAAAGAGGAGTTAAATAATGTTAAGAAATATCAGCCTTCAGAGTTGCAGCCAGATATAAAGTTTCCTGTGACAGATGAAGTGACAGTTGCATCATTCACATGCAAGGCCTAATCATGCAATGGTTCAATATAGATTTGAAAAAAAAAATGGAGGTAGTGATGAGTGGAAAATGAGAAACTTTCAGAGAGCTTCCACTTGGCAAAATGGTGAGAAAGCATGCATTGGAGGATCTAGCAGCTCCTGTGGTTGCTGAAGAAACAACTTATTATGGATGGTCATAGTGATCAAGAACTGAAGAGTGAAAGAAAGAGCTAGCAACCAAAGATCAGGGCAGGACTGCCAAGCCATGCCAAGCGGATGACTTGCCTGCTGAGCTTGCTGAATTTGTTGCTGACCATGCTGAATAGTGGTCATGAGATCAGCAGCTGAGTTTTCAGCAACAGCCTTCACACCCAAAGTATGATGAGGGGGAGCAAGTCGATGGCTCAACAAATTTGCCAGGGCAGTCTTAGTCTTGGCATGTACTACAGGAGCTTGACCTGGGGCCTAAAATGATCCATCACCAAGTCCCTCACAGCCCCAATGTGAAACCATTCTCACCGTGGTAATTTGTATCCCAGGAGGAGTTGCATGCAAAAGTGTGCCCCCTCAGGAATGTAAGCTCCCACAATGTAAGAGTATGAAAAGAAAACTTGACATGCTCAAGCACCCACTGGCATTCAGCACTGATTTCAAAACCTTTCCAACACCATATAGTCCAAGGTCCATCACATCATAGAGATCACATTTCCTCAACAGCCTAGTATTTCCTATATTAAAAAAAGTTATATATTGCTAGGAAAGTTTGTACTTAAAATAGGTAACAGAGAAGAAAACCAAATATGTTGATGAAAAGGAAAACGTATGGGAAACTGAGGTACAGATTGGCCCACAATATTTAAATCCCCCTGTTTAATCTAATAACATCACCACATAAAGCCTTTTATTTCTGGAAAAGTACATTTAACTACAAGTTTGCTAGAGATGTTCAACCAACTCAATGAAGCTTTCTACCTCACAATTTCCTGTCACTGTTCTCCTGAATGGATGCATGCTTGCTCCTACTTCACCTTTGAGCGAATTTCAAATATTGCAGAATTATAAAGCCCCCTTAGATCATGTCCTCCTACATACTCACTTTGCCAATGCATGCTACTTTATATCTGTAGCTGATGAACTCTTTCCTACTTGAATCCATCATCAATAACCTGGTACCCTGAGAAACCACTGTATCCCTCCCTCTGCCTTCTGAAATTCCTTAATGCCAATGCATACATCACCAACTCCTCTATTGTCACCATGTTACCATATTGGCAAAGATACCATACCTTCCACCATCTTTGAATCTTTTGATCCCATATTCTTGCACATAGAAAAAAATGCTAGTTCCTTCCCAAAATCCACAAACCAACAGTCAAGACCACTCTATACTTGGTGCTTCTAATTGTCCAACCTCTCTGTTGGCATGGTTTCTTGACAAGACGTTCACATCTCTGGCCATGAACCCCCTACCTACAGAATATCAAATTCCAGCTGTCTATGCCCGCCCAGCACTTGCTCACTATGAACAAAACCTCTCTCACACTGACACCCCAAATCAAGATGGATCCCATACACTTAAATGCCCTTCATCAACATGAATGTCAAGACCCTCCCATCTCTACACTCCCTCAAGCTCCCTCCCCAACTCCAAGGAAAAAACCAGCATTACAAGTCCCTCATATGCATGACTTTCCATCAGATATAATGAACTTCATCAGAATTCATTCTCTGAAAAATGAATCCTTTTTTCCTATGATATACTAATGCTGTTTTGGGCTTTTTATTTTTAATGTTCAATTTTGTTCAATCTCCATGCATGACCTACCCCCTTCATTCACGTTGTTCCTTCTACAGACAGATGTTTGCACTTCTCCACTGTCATAAGTGACAACCCTATCTCCTTTCCTGACCTCATGATCTTAGTTTCTCCTCTCTGTTTCACCCTTCTACTGACATCTTTTAGAAAGCTAGATTTAAATTCTGACCATTTCTTTAATTCTTGCCCTTACAAATCCAAAATTTCTATCCCATATACTCAATTTCTTCAGTAAAAACATATCTATTCTTATAAAGTTTTTCTTCCCAGAATTTATCAGTTTCCCAATTGCTTTGTCCATTGTGATTTCCCTTCTGAGTTTGCCTACAAAACCTTGCAATGAGCGGCTATTCAATCACTTCACCCATTCCCTTTGCCCCTTTTAACCAATCTTCCATCCTCATCTCTTACAGTCCAGCATCCACTTTGTTTAGGCCAGTGGTTCTCAACCTCTTCAATTTCATGACCCACCTTAATAAATGCAAAATGATCCAAGGCCCACTACAGATTTAAAAGCAATAATTTTTTATACATCTAACTGTTAATTGTTATTTTTAAATTTACAGTTACTTGTTGCTGTCCACCCTTGACACCTCAATGGCTCACCAGTTGAGAACCACTGATCTAGGCAACTATAATTAGACAACCTTTCACCCTCTCTTAAGATTATGCATATTATCATCAAAACCAGCTTCCCAATTCCTCACTCAAAACTAAACACTCCCTCAATCTTTGCCTCTCCCCTTTCTTGTTTTTCAATGTGACTGGAACATTTGAAGCCTTGTTTCTCAAGAAAAGATATGCTTTCAACTTGGACCTCCTCTAATTGCCATCTAAGCTCTCTAACACATCCTTTCCTTTTCTCTTCCCTCTTCATCAAATCCAACACCCATGTCTCAGAAAAAAAAATTGAAAATCACATGTTTCCAGCAGTATAAAGCAGCATCTCTTTCATCATCTAGCTTTCCAAAAGAGAAAATGGAAGACATTTGAATAATTGATTCTTGGAACATCTTCAATAAATTACAAAAAATCTTCTGAGCCAATACCATCAAACTTCAGCCATCCAAATAATTCCATCAATAACCTCAAGATTACACCATTCATGATTCTTGCCAATCCTCCAATCTTTGGAGAAATGTTTCAAACTCCCAATCAATCCCAGCTTCTCTGCATTCTTATTTGTCTCATGATCTTTCTCACTTTCCTTTCCCTTGAAATTCCATGTCCCAGATTCCATGAAGGCCCAATAGGTCAATGTTTCAGGATTTATTTTCCTAAATTCATTTCGCCCCCTTACCCTTACCCCCATTAGAATTTTTTAGCCAAAGACATCTTCATTTGACCTTGACACAAGGTTTTATGAGTCAGCAAGACCTGGATCTGAAGGAACCCCTTCACTATCAATCAACCACAGCTAATTTTGATCTTTTTCATAAATTTTTTTGGGTGCTATCTCTAACAATTTCTTTGCATACAACATTGAGGGTTTTCCAAATAAATAATGGAGCTGTTATGTCCAAAACACATTGTGGGTGATATTCACTGATGGATCTATTTTGCTCATAACATGCAAGGAGTTAAGAATCATGTGACTCTGTCTGAAGCCTTGTCCAATTCTTCTGAGTCTAAGTACAAATCCAGATAATTTCAGCCATATGTCCAATACAGAGTTCAGACTTTTTCAGTTTCTTGCTTGAGCACAGGTCATTAGAATTTAAACATATATGAATCCAACCTGAGATATCTCCAGTCAAAATTCAAGTTGATAGAATTCACAATGTTGAGCTTAATATTCTTCAGTTTTAGTCAAGATCATCCAGCTTCAAACCAGATTTATTTATGTCCCTGATTGCATGTTCAGCACTTGCTACTTGCTTACACTTCTGGATTGATTGAAGGGGTGCTTCACATAGTGAATGTCAATCTTAGCTATAGTTTGCAACCTTCTTCACACATTCTTGTCCAATTGGAGGATCAGAGCATCCTATCCTCCTGAGTTTAAGTTGCTCAGTTTAAGTCCATGTCCAAGTCTTTCACCACAGCCCCAGAGGCCTAAAAACTAAGCTCTAAAACTGTTCTGACTATAAGCTCTATAGTGGGGGGGAGACTCATCAGTTTCCCAATAAGCATCAGATAGTCTCCACTTTCTAATGCTTAGCTTGTGGAGCACACTATAAAAAAAAAACCTGGCAGAATGAAGTGGTTCAAATATATACAGGGTGTTTGCATTTAAACACAACATAGAGAATATTTTGCCACCTGTAGGTGGAGTTCGGTGAACACTATAAGGCATGCCCTGAATTCCACAAACAGGTGGCACAAACTTCCCTATGTTGCTTTTAAATATGAACACCCTGTGTATATATATATATAGTGTTCAACCATCAGTTTTAGAGGTACATGTACTCTGCAAAACTTTACTAGGATTTTGTATTTCATGCATGTTGAAGCTAGAAAAGTTCAGATACAGTCTACCTTTGGTGGTGAATGGAAAAAGTCACAGGGTATTCAATTATAATTTAAAAAACCAGGACCTAACTCAGTCCCTTACTGGCTACCCCAAGGGAGATTTAAAAAGAAAAAACTTCTAGTGGAAACCACACTTCAGTGAAAACTTTCAAAATGCAATTTTCAATGCTTATATCTGGAATGGAAACTGAGTCTCCTGCTCAAGAATATGAACAAGGCTCATGGAACCATTTTAGAAGCCTCATTTAAATGATTGAAAGAGGTTGATGTCTCTAAATTTCTTAAACCTAATTATTCTACCATACACAATCACTGGCAAGTGCAGAGGTGAGTCCCTATTGAAATTAAACAATGACAAAAACATGGCTGGTTATGATAAACTGAAATCCTAAATTGTGGCATTTTAAAAGATAGCTTAATACATTGACTGCTGTTTATGCCACCTGGCCTGTTTCATATAGCAAGTCTCCACTCACCTGCAGTGCTTGGCAAGGACATTTAAGGGCATTTAAATCCCTAGCAGTCAATGTGTTCAAATGTTTTGGAGTAAATAAGTTGTTGTAAATAGAAAACTGCTTCGCTTGCATCAATATAAAGCAATTTCCTGAATTTCTTTGAACCAGATGCCAATGGAAGGACAAAGCCCCTGGTAGTGAAAGTGTTAATATCAGTGGTGCAACTGCCTTTGGACGACTCAACATAGAATGACCCACAAACAAATGGTGCATACAGGGAAGCATTAAAAGGAGGAATAAAGAAAGAAGGTATGCCTAGAAGAAATGTGATGTGAGCAACTCGCATGGACAGTGCATTGCTTTTTATTCAACTGAGCAACTTCCTCCTGCATGTGCCAGTGATTGTGCAGAGTAGAATAATTTGGTAAAAGAAATCTGGAGACATGAACTTCTTTCACCCATACTGGTGAATCCTTTTTAATTCCCTCCCTGTAGAGAAGTCCTTCCTACTTTTGTCAGTTGCTGCCAACTTCCTGGAATTTTTTAGGATCATTTGACATGAGATGACTCCTGTGGAAAATTTGGAATAGCAAAAATATTTCAATTCAATTCAAAAACTTGCAAAATTTCTATAAATTTTTTTACAAGGTAGGGTATGAAACCCAAAATTCTCCCACTAACCACCAGTGGTCCATAAATGAAGTGCTATTCATCAAGAAAATTATGTCAAGTCTGAAGCCTTAGAATGCAAAATTACAACTACTTCATTACTGCTCAAAAAAAGAATGGAAAATTGAAAGATCAGGAAACTCAGTCACTTCTCAACAAATATTAGGATAGGGGGTCAATCCACACCAATTGACCAGATTATGAAGATTATGATGCTCAACCAGCTGACAGGCCTGAGATGGAATGTCAAAATCTAAAATCTCAGATCTGTGCTCCCAATAGTTAATGAGATCTGAACTATTACAGTTCTGGTTTCTGGGTGCATTTGATCTCCAGGGTCTCAAGAGGATTCAAGAGTATGGTGGCTATCAAATTTGAGCCATTTTGATGGAAATAAGTAATACACTAGTGCTGTGATTAATGTACCTTATTTCACAATAATTATAAAAGTATTCAAGGAAAGGGTTTGTTTTTTTTGGCATTGTAAGAAGAGACAATACAAGAGTAAGACTAATAAACGTGATTTCACTAAAATAATTTTTTGGCCTCAATACTTTAATTCTTCCTACTTCCTTTCATACTGATGAGAATGCAAAATACTAACCAGGTGTGAAAAAAAGATGTTACTTGAAAAAAAAAACTTTTAAAATATATTGTAAACAAAATTTAGTTCATACAAACATGCATTGAAATGGGTATTAACCCTAAGAGAAGTGTGAATTCTCCATATGGCACCCACCAACCTGGTAGCACCATAAGATACAATGTGCCATATGTTCAGTGGCCAAAAGCCATTTCTGAAATAAAGTTCTTTCAAAATGTTATATCTTTTTAGGACACCTGGTATAGCTCAGCAAACTTGCGAAGGCAATGAAGGAAAATATCTGAATAGGGATTTTCTTTATAGTAATAAAAATAACTTTTCTCCCCCTGGCCATTGAATCTTGTGTTTGACATAGAATTTTGAATCCTAAATTTCAGAAGATAAATTCTAAAGCTAATATTTGGTATATCCCTAGTTAAATACTGCATGAGCCAATGGGATCTCTGCTGTTTCTTCTTTCCTCTGGGGGCTATTTTTTTCTGAAAACTTGATTTTCTCAGATGATCATGCATCATCCATCTGGTCAATTGGAATGGCCCATAGGACAACTTTAACTCTAATCCAAGCATGCTATCCATGATTGACAATGAAGAATATTGCATACTTGTTCAGATGGTCTGAAGCACTTACCATAGTTGGCTGAACAGCTACATGTTGGGAAGGTCCTAGAATGCCACTTGGAACTGAATGACCTTGAGGCTGAGGTTGTCCATCACACATAGGAGTTGGTATTGGATTCTGTTGCTGTCCTGGACTGAGCCCAGGCCCAGGCCCAGGTCCAAAGTGAGTGACTCCTGATACTGGTGTGGAAGCCTCCTGAGACATGGTTTGTTGTCGAGGCACATACTGAGGCCGCATCATCCCCAATTTGGATGGAACCTGTGGAGGTGCCCACACTTGTTGAGGTGCTTCCAAGTTTGAACGGATGTGAGCTACAGCTTCAGCATCCTTGGCCTGTGCTGCTTGTTGTTGTTGTTGTTGTTGCTGTTGTTGTTGTTGCTGCTGCTGCTGTTGTTGTTGTTGATGTTGTTGCTGCTGCTGCTGATGTTGTTGCTGCTGCTGCTGATGTTGTTGCTGCTGCTGATGTTGTTGTTGTTGCTGCTGCTGCTGCTGCTGCTGTTGCTGTTGCTGTTGCTGTTGCTGTTGCTGTTGCTGCTGCTGCTGCTGCCACCCAAGGTGTACTTGGCGCACTTGCTGTTGTGGAATGGTTTGAGGAACAGGGACCATCATTCTTTGCTGAGTCTGTTGCATCACCATCTGAGGCTGTTGTGATACCATGATGCCTTGCTGCTGCTGCTGTTGTTGTTGTTGCTGCTGCTGCTGTTGTAGGACCTGCTGCTGCATCTGTTTCTGGAGAAGTTGTTGCTGCTGCTGTCTATGCAACTGTTGGAGGATCAAAGCTCTCTGTTGGGGATCCATTTGCTGGAGTTGGGCCTTGCTAATGACAATCTGTTGAGGTTGCTGCTGTTGCGTTGAGTTTTGCATAGCAATCATCTGCCGAGGTTGCTGCATAGCTTGAGGGTTCATTTGTCGTTGCTGAGGCCAATGACCACGAGGATGAACCAACTGCTGTCTTGCATGAAGCACTGGCTGCTGTTGCTGCTGCCACTGCATTCTTGGAGGTTGTTGCTGCATTTGTGGTTGGGTCATATTAGATTCACCAACTACAGTGGCTGCATGTTGTTGAGCCCCTTGCACTCCAAGTCCCTGTTTAAAAAATGCTGATTATATTACTCAACTTAAATGGTGACTCAAAAATAATGCTACCAAATGTAGGACAGGACAAAATGGAACAAGGACAATTGTCATTTTGGGCAACATGAATAGTTGACTCATTACAAATCAGATAAACCAATGCATAGGTCTTATGGGCTTCAAGTGTAGGACCATGAGTGTTCAAAGATTACTGCAGTTAGCAAAGGGTACACAGTCTTTCCATTTCACTGACAAATTTCAGGTGCCCAGCAGGGAGCCATTACATCTGCTCAATATATGTGATTTTTCAATACCAGTTGATTCCAATGCAATGATTAAACAATTGCACCAGTAAAAATGATCAATGGCAACAGAGGCCAACACATTGTCTTTCTAAATAATTGATGAACATTAGAATTTGTACAGTTAACATACTGGCTGTTGCATGTGCTTCATTCCTGATTCCTGGACGATCCACTGTTGTGTTTGCCCTTGCACAAGTGGAGGTCCTTGTGGTCTTTGCTGCTGCTGTATACGCTGCTGCATGTACCGCTGTTGAGGGTGCAACTGTTGTGTCTGTTGAGCCACTTGTGAGGACCATCTCTGTTGAGGCAAATGCCCTGCACCTATGGAAAATTCAATAGACATATCAGTTTCAATATGTAGAGCAAGCTCATGCAATTGGGAAATAGTTGTCCACAGTCAGGAAATTACCAGGAATCTGACTCCTAAGGTGTGGAGGTATGTTGGACTGTGTCTGTTGAATCTGTCTTGCATGAGCACGACTCTGTGGAGTAGGGAGCTGTTGGATGGCAGCTTCCACTTGTTGTGATTGAGGACGAATCTGCTGCTGTGCCATTGAATGCTGCTGTTGCTGTTGTGGGACTAATTGTTGTTGATGTTGTGATTGTTGCTGTTGAGGATGATGCTGCAGTTGAAGACCTTGGAGGGTGGGTTGTTGATGTATGATCATTTGCTGTGGCCTCATAGGACGTGGCTGCTCAGGCTTTGGAATCTGTTGAGGTGTTGGCATTCGAGGAGTCCCTGAAATCTCCATGGAAGGTCGCTGAGGTGGAGTACTGGGAAGGTTCCAGGGCATTCTTTGTCGCAATTCTTCCAATTTTTTCTCCTCTATGGACTTACTACATTGAGTAGGTGTTTCATACTTGGGTTTCTCCTCTGCTTCAAAACCTAATATGCTTGCTGTAGATAACAGAGACTCTTGCTTTGCAGGTTCAGGACTAGGCTCCTTTGGAAATACAAGAAGCTTGGGGTGGTAAATAGCAGAGTCAGAAAGCTTCTTTTCCTGGCAACTTACAATTACCCAGTCAGGAGTCACAACTGTGACCATCTCACTTTTCATTGCTGCTTCATATGCTTCCTACAAAGAGAGGAACAAAGATCATTATCAGAGGTCATGTTTATCAAAAGTTCTAGGAAGAGAATCTTGGGAGTCAAACTGATTTATCAGCACTCATTCTTGGTGTGCCTGGTAATTGATAAAATGATTCAACTCTATTAATCTAAGCCATTTTACTCAATAGACAGAATTTGGATCAAGCACCTAGTTTCACTAGAAGTGGTGAATATGACTTCTTTTTGAATGGCTGACATTGCCTTTGTTCTTGCATTTCCCTTTCAACTTTTAAGAAGTTTCAACTTTCATTTGCCACAGTGATATAATTCATATTCAAAAGTGTTGTGTAGTGGATTTGAATTCTTATTTAATAATTAGCAAAGCATCCAGGTTCCATACCAAGATAAGTACATTGACAAGCCTCAAACAGCTTACCCCTTCTGGTTTGGCGAGGATGAGATGGGTGCACTTGGAGGAATAAGCTTTGAGGCATTTTCCTCCATGGAAGGTTACATGAGCCCAAAGTGCCTGCTTATCTGACTCCTCTACTCCCTCTATATAAGCAGTAACTTTGGAGAAGAGGTCCTCCTCTCCCATGAGAAATGGTTGGGTTCTGATTGATTAAATTAAGGAAAGCCCTTCCAATGAACCATGTGGAACAATTGCTAGTCGTTGCTGGTAACCTACAAGTTCAAATAACACTAAGGCTTGTTGCACAAACCTCACTTAAGGAAGACAAAGGGGCCTTTAACTTAAAGAGCTCTTTTCCCACCATAGGAATCCATGTATTCTTAAAGGACCATTAACTAAAGGAGGTTTCAGCATTTGGGCCAACATCTTTATATCTTTAGGCCTAACCATGAATGTATTAGATGCCTAAAACCCTTCTACATGAGCTACACTCCCACCCTAAAAGCATAGAAACTTGACTGTAGGGCATAAAATTTGCAGGCTAACACATATAGAATTCAGCTAGCAAACTCAAACTGTCCCTTGCTTGTCTGAAACATGATTTGCAGCACACTGATCATAATTCTTCAAGTGATAGTGTGAATTCACACAAATCCATGTAGATATCATTATTGGTTAGGAAATGAATACTGATGTTATCCTCTCCCCTCCTTAAGCTTTTTCAATCTCTCAATTGTGCACCTACAGTATCTCTGCTCAAAAAACTAGGAAGAACAAAGTAAATCATTATTGAAGAAATAATTTCATCAAGAAAATAAGAAAACAATGCAATAGATAATTTATGACTTCCATGACCTTTAAGAGCTTGAAAAACTCCATCCTCATGATGATCATGTCAAATAACTAGGATAGTAAATGATATAAAACATGCAAATTTCTTGAGTAAAACAGAATTTCCAAGGCTGATGGCTGTCAAAAGTGCTAATGCTTGAAGACAACCTCCTGCTGTTGAAGAAATGGTACAGAAGACAATATTGCTATAATGAATTCATGTTGTCCTCACATGATATAAATGGTATACCCTCATTGCATTGTGATCCTGATGGCATGGGGATAAGTTTCTCTAGATTGCTTGCATATGACAAAAAAAGTAAGGTCTGAGAAAAAATTGCTCTTCAAGGAGTGTGAACATCATGAAGATGCTAATACACATGCCTCTAAATGCACCACATTAGAGGAGAAACAAAAAAATCACAAAAACTTGAATGTTTTGATTATACTGTCAGAGCTCAGCAGATATGAGAAAAGGTAATTAAATAAAGAGGTACATTCACTTTTGATTTGTTTTAGCAGCAGGTCCTGTCACTGTTGTGTATTTTATTGGTATTGGAATCTCAAAAACCTATGAATATGGAGATACTTGGCTTTGTCACCATTGATATGCTACTCAAGGATTGAGTGAACACTAGTAAGTCCTTGACTTGCACAGACAGAAAGAACTCCAACACTGTAATCTCATGAGTCCCACAGACTCTGATCCTAGCAATTATCATGCCATGAATGACATTCAATTATGAAATAGTATAGAATGACAGTATACTTTTGAAGCTTAATTGATTTTCAACTCCCTTTGTAGACCTTACACCTACTTGGCCATGCTACCTGATTTTAGAGACATGATCCCACTTGATTCTAACTGTTTTGCACCAAAGGACCTAAGGTAAATAACTTCCTATATAGGGATTCAAGGAATTTGAGGTACAGGTATTTGAAAGGTCACACTTTGGAAACAGGTCTAGATGCATAGAAATGAGAAACATGATCAGGCTGTCCATGGCCCTTAAGAATGTCTGGATTTCATAACCCATGACTACAATCACATTCTGGTTTCATTGAGCCCCTCCCAGCCAAAATTCAATAAATGCAACCACATGTCACATATAGCTTACTTTTCACCATTAGTATGCAATAAAGACATCACATTAGTCATATCTTGGAGATTGATGGAGGAAAGATGAGAAGACTGTGATCTGACTTTGTCCCGATTGTTCTGGTCCTTGAAAAATACAATATAATATTACTCAACAAGACATCTACTTCCTAATCCAACTGCAAGTGACACAATGATTGAAAATGAAATTTGCCACTGAAACCAATATTATGAAATCACCTATTGTAGAGATCTTGAAAAGTACAGGAAGTGGAGGTAAAGTGTGAGTATGAATACAGGTATCAGTGGGAAAATGTATCAAAAAGGGACTTCATGCACCACAGTTCTCACTATGAGAGATGAATATGTCCCATAAACCCAAACTAGGATGATATTACAGAGCATTTTCATCATGTGGATCCACCCATAACAACAGACAAAAAAGAGAGCAATAAAGTTTCTAGCATCAAACATGAGTGGGCTTCCATTCCCTTGACTACTAGCATTGTCCTTATTAGGCATTTTTGTACAATTCTGGATGTAGGAATGCAAATTATAGCATTCTAAAAATGTCAATGTTTCATGCAAGTCATTCTGTTCTTCATGTGGTCCATTCAATAAGTAGTGATTATTGCAGTATAGCTCCTTCACAAAGAAACAGCTCAGATAAGTACTCAGCATCATAATGCAACTCCAAAAATGAAGAAGCTGTGCCATTAGGAAAACCACTTTTGGAATACACCAAATATCTAAAATTTGGTAAAAAGTTTTATCATAGTGATCCCTGCAAAATAAGAACAAACTCCCACCCTTACACAGGGGGGGGGGGGGGGGGGGGGAAAGAGTTCTTCTTGGAAGATCTTGTCGGGTACTCCAAGAAACAGCAATTTCTCAAAGGAAACTTCATCCGGGAAACCCGAGCACAGGTGCGCTCTAGTTTGGTGCCTGGGGAAAACTGGCTTTCTGTACTGTAGGGGGGGAAAGAGTAGCCACAGCAGCACTTTTGGATTCAAAAGGATACTGTAAGAGCTTTTTGCATTTTGCAGAGAGGATTATCCATCTGGCTGAAACAACTGGCTTTTCGTATATTTCTCTGGCCTCTTCAATTTCACTGCTCTGAGCAGCATCAGATCCTGCTATGCAATGGGTGATCAACTCACACAGGTAGTTATACTTCCTTGCTCCACCATCTGACAGCAGGGAAAGAACCTACAGCAAAAAAAGAACAATTGCTGATAAAATATCTAAATGTCAATTTACACAATCAAGTCAATGTCACAATCAAACTTAATGATACTATTTGTAGCCAATTGGAAATTCTGACTCCATTTTACATTTCCAAGGGTGATGATACAACGATGCAGTCATAATCTCAACTAGAGATGTTACCAATAATTGTTCATATTGGCTTTATCACAAAACTGATACCACTAGTCCACCAATAAACTGATATCCAAGGTTCCCCTTCAAATGTTGGTTTTTAGTAGTACTTGAACCAACAAGAATAGAGGGTAGGCACAGGGGATGCTCTGCAAGAAAAAACCAAGAATCCAAGGGCAAAGCTGGCCCGGTGGTGAGCAGGAGGGGATACTTAAAGAAATAGAAATCCTTGGGAGAGACACACTGCAAGCAATTAAGTGTGATAGCTACCTCTGCTCACTGAGCATGAATGAGTCCAGCACCAGGAATGTGTATACGTGATGGTCCAACAGGAAATTTCAAGATGATCCAGCTCTAAAGCTAAATTAGGCAAAGCAAGCAAAATGCACCCTGCAATAATCTATCTCAGTCTCCTCAGGATGGCCACCACCCAAGACCCACAAGCATCCTACTTCCTGCTTCTATGGTCACTGCTCACCTTTCTCATGTCTTCATAGTCAATCAGTAAACACTCCCCTTTGTTGCTGACTGAGCATCTTCTTTCCTTGGACAATCCACAATATCCTATATCAGTATAATTCTGGAGTTTGGGTGTGTATGTTTTCATTGCACTGACTATGCCTGAATGCTGAAACTTCATTTAACATGTTGACCACCAAGTGACACACCAACATGTCAAAAACAATGCCAAGTGGCAGCCTTGGCTGTCAAAGTGCTAAGTGAGACGAAGAGGCCTTTAGCCCTTACACTGCTGAGATTTTTAGTGGCTGGCTGCCACTGCTATGTGAGATTTTTTCCCACGTATTACAACAATTACAGTGAGGGATACATGAATATACATTCAAGTGTCCAATAGCCCTGAATGCAGAGACCTTGAGAGTTTTCCACTTGATCTCCACAAATGGAAATATATGTATGAAAAGAGAAAGGCCAATTCAATAAAGGAATAAAAGGATTTATAATTAATTTTTATGAAAGAAATTCCATAATGCCAGTACTGGCTGGTAAAATAGTGCATATGAAACATACACCGTAGGTATTAAACACCATGCTGCTAAAGGGATTTGGAAGATTCCTGTATAATATACAATTACATTCTCAGGTGCAACATGTTTATCAATAATAAAGAAGCACAACAACAACTCCACAGACAATGGGAATCACTCATGGCATGGCACTCTGCACTTGAGTATACTCAAGCGCCACAGCAATAGAGTTAAACTAAAGAGCTCTTTTCCTGCAATAGGAGTCTATGGTTCCTTAACTCTTTTGCAGCAACTGACAAGCATACTTGTCCTGGTGATTTGACAAGGGACTGTGGCTCTCTCATTTAGAACTATGGGATGACAACTCAAGAATATACTCAGCACCGTAGAAGCGATTCCACTATGAAAACTCGGCAGTGAAAGGGTTGAAGGACAGTTCCCTAAAGGAGGGTTCACCATTCAGGCCTCATTCTTTTGTTTTTACATAGCCTGAGAGTGTGTGAATAAATTGTAACCCTCCCCAACAGATACCTCCTTAGGATGCTGGTTTACGCACAAGAGGAAATGCTGTGCTAACCTTCGGTCAGCAATAGTCTCTTCAAACACTTCCTCTACTTGATTGTGCTTGATCTGACTTCCAATTTTGAAAATTAAACCTCATGGCTCACCTTATTCCACTTCCCTTCATTTTCCAAAAGCTATGCAGGTTAACCTACAATAAACAAGATCAGTATGCTTTCCAGTCCCATAGGATAACACTGGCCTCTGTGAGACATTCAACATAATAATCGGTTTATTAGTATCAGTTATATTGGACCCCTTTAGATGAATATCTATAAAAAATTCCACATCAGTAACATCCCTAGTCTTAACAAAAAAAAACTAGGACTGTTGATCGATTTTAAAATGTAATACGTTTATTGCAAGTCATTTAATAGATTAATCGGTTGATTAATCTAATTTTAATAAATTTCTTACTTCTGGCTTTGAATCAAGTCCTAGGCATTGGGCATGATTTTGCTTGTGTCAGGTCCAACACCTAGGCAAACCTTAGGCAATGCAGTCACAACCATAGCAGTTACCATCCATACATACACAAGTTCAACCTACATGTGACACATTCCCAGCTTTCCCTCTCTCTGTTACTTCCCGGGGGCTCCAACAGACCTTCACCAATGCACTTAAATATACATCTCTCACTCCCCAGCCTTTACATTATCTCAACCAACCACATGAATCCTTGCCTTGACAAAATCAGCCCAATGATGGATGATGATCACACCAATCCATTTACTAATGAGTTCCCACATCCCACCTCACTCCCTTTGTATTGTAACTTATTTTCTTTACAGGAAGGCTATGAAACTGCATTTCCTACAAACCAAAAGACCATTACTTAATATTAATTGATGAGACTTGTCATATTGCCTATAAATGTAGTGAGCAAGTTGACATAAGTTCATTTAACCCTTTCAGTACTGAATTATCTCCACATTTCTTTGATTCGTTTCATATAATACATTCATAATATCACCCAATATATAAATCAATCTCTAAATCAACATTTTTTTCTTAACAAAATCAGCTGTAGGGCAAAACCATCTGAGTTCAGATGGTACCTAGGTTTAGACACTATCCTGTACATCATTACAAAACCAGGCATTGGTGAACTCTCCCTCAGAAACAGTTCCTTGCAGCTTGGAAGAGCTGTTTCTGAAGGAGACCTTGCAAATGCTATGTTTGATAACAATTTATTTTATGGTGTCTGAACTTGATGGTTTTACCCTAATTAGCCATCCAATTGGTTGCAATGATTAAATTTGGGAAGAAAATGCCTGCATGGCATAAGATCCCATGTGAAGAAATGAAAAAGTGGTAAAATGATAATGAAAGAACTTCTTAGAAACAAATAACTTGTCATAAATGATTAATTTATTCAATGTTCCCTAGTTTTGCACATTCCTATGACAAAATTTAAACATACTCACCCGATAAATGAGTGGGTCTTACTTTTGCCAACCCCCATGTTATAGGGAGATGACTTAAACACTTTGAACTCTGGCAATTTGAATGCTACAAGTGTAGGATGCCATATGACAGCTTCAGAGCTCAAAGTGTTACTGACGAAAGAGTAAGAGTAATGTAAACTTCTGTTGAAAACCTCACTGACTAGATTCAAAAGAGTATGAAATAATTTCAAACAGGTGCAGAGTTTATATTTTAAAAACAAAGTACAATCATTCTGAATTCTCTGCAATATGCCCTAGCATATAGGCCAGGGTGTGCAACCTTTATTGGCAGTGGGCCACATGGAAATGTGTGACTCTTGACGCTGGCCTCAGATCGCAAAAGAAGTCTTTTGTCCTCTTTTGTCCTCAGGGCATAAGGTCATGCTAATTGGCCAATGATCCTTACCTCCTCCCATCCCCTAGGAAATTCCAACATCCAAAAATAGCCTTTGGCATTGAGAACCTTCTTCCCCTGAACATATGTAGCACTGCCCGCATGAGGAAAAATTAGAAGGAAGTGAAAGGTCTGTCTATTTCTTGTTACTAATTGATGATCAAATTTATGATGGGCCTTTGGCCACAAAGAAACATATCTGTTATCCTATTATGCATTACCGGGCCACAAGAAGCAGGTCCATGGGCCACATGCAGCTTGCGGGCCATGGGTTGCACATCCCTGCTGTATAGGCAAACTTACACCAGCAGCATCAATCAATAGGACTAGGTCTAGGCTTATAAGATGCAAAAGAATTATGGCAGGCTTAACGTGTAAAAGGAATAGCAAGATAGTAGCAGTATAAATTCCAGCTCTCAAAAGCCTAGGCTAAGATTACTACAAAATGGATAGGTGAAGTACCAGAAAATACTTACCTTTGGTGACACTGTCCCTGTGGTGTAATACACAACATCTTTGAAGAAATTTGAATCAACTGATAAATCATTCATGTCTTCCCCTGCCATTCTGATTCATGGTAGTGATAGTTAACCTATAGACTTCATGGCTTCCAGATTATCACCTGAAAGTGACCATTGCACAAGGTGATGCTGTCTCTGCATATTGATGACACTATTCTCTCAAAGAGACATGACCTATAGAGAGTAAAGCACCAATGAAACACAGCAAAAGTCAATGCAAGTGATTCGCACAATCTACAGGGTGGCTCAAAAAAACTAAGCTATTGACTTCATCATGCTGCAAATTGGGCTGCAAAGCCTTCATTCAAGTAATCCTTTAGGCACACATGAAGCAACTCTATTCCAGGAGATATAAAATTATAAATTATACTCCTGATATTATAACATATAATTGTATACCTGCTGCAAAAGAGTTGCTTCATGTGTGCCTAAAAGCTTACTCCAATCAAGGCACTGCAGTCTGATTTGCAGCATGTTGAAGTCAATAGCGTGGTTTTTTTGAGCCACCCTGTAAGACTGTGCACAAATATTGGGTGATATGCACCGAATCCATTTAAGCTAAACTAATCTGATCTCACAATGGTCCCCTATGGAAATCAGTTTAACAGATAAACTTATTCCCATAGATGCCCATCATGAAAATGAATCAGTTTCAAGTTAAACGAATCCTGTGCATGTCGCCCATTGTCATTAGTATGAGCATATTACAGTCCATCTCTTTATGTAACATCAGACTTGCTTGTTTAATACACTCGTGTGGACGTCAAGAGCTTAGATTCCAGGATAATCCACTAAATACCCATTCATGTTGTTGATGAGACTGAAGGAAACGTTAGCTCTATTTGTGTCACATAAAGAACAACGATTTGCATATATGGGTGTGTGAACTCATCATGAATACACTGCATGTGCTCAGGGGTCTCCTTATCAAAATGCGATGGGACTAGCACTCAGAAATAATCACATGACTTGATAAGTTAGGAACCTTGGTCTCCTGAGGCAGAAGCCGAGCTCATCGCCTGCTCCAACAAATCATAGGCATGAAACCTGCGTGGATTTGATGAAGTCCGGTATGAACCCTCTAATAAAAAGAATAGTATCCGTGACTCTTCTGACTGGAAATATGCGAATTAATAAACTTGTTTCGTAGGCATAGGTCCAAGATTAAATTGCGCAACTGAGGTGCGAGAAGTTCACTGGGATGACAAAATATGCAGTCCCACATCGCTCGCAAAAAGCATGGCTTAGGCCAACATTTAATTACGGCATCCTCACGCGATTCCCTCTCCAGCTGCGGAGGGAGCCATCTTATCAAGAGCGCGCGCGCCCTAGGGTGCGTCGACAGTGTTCCAGATTGACTTATCCTCCCCATCCCCGGCCCCCTTAACCCTCTCCCGGCCCTATTCCAAAGCCATATTACCTTCTTATTTTACAAGATGTAATCTTGATAAACTGTCGAAGCATCAAAAACTAACTCAATAGTCCAACAAGTGAAACTAGGAGTCCTTCGAAAAAAAAGAATGCCTACGACCGGCTTGGCCGGGAGCGACAAATTTGTCACGAACGCTTTCGAGCGCTTTGGCCGGGAGAGGGTTAAGGGCATTTCACACTTTGCGTGTCATCCGTACTTTGCGTTAATGGTTAGGCAGGTAGGTCGACGTAAGCGTGCACACACGTGTCCATACGCGTGACCACTTAAGGAGTTTCGCAAAGCACAGGGCTAGCATGTGGATTTGTGAAGAGCCCCATTGAAACCACAAGCCTTGCGTTTTGTGAAGTTAGGGGACACGCGTGCGTTTGCCTACTTGCCCAAGCATTGACGCAAAGGACGCATGACACGCAAAGTGCAAAACGACCTTTACTGCATATTTGGATTAACTACGCGTTCCATAATTTTCGGGTTGTGAAGTTCTCCTTTCCCGTGCTCAGGAAAGGATGTCGCTCCATGGGCTTGACTCAGACCTTGAACCATGATCTTTGAATTTAGAGGGTATGGCAAAGAAAAGACCAATGACCTTAATATCTCCGCTCACAATGGAGCCATTCTATCAGCATTTATTGAAAAAGAAGTTAGTCATTGAGAATGGACAGTTAGTCTTGCTGGTAGGGGAGTGGAAGAAACCCTCGAGCAGCTGTCCTTCCTGGTCAGCAAGACCACGTCAAATCTCTCTTCCATTTAAATTCATACTTTGAGCTGGTCGTCTTTAGCAGATGGTTTTCATTCCAAATTAATGGCAGATGAATAAATGAGTATCAATGTCCAGAGACTTTTCACATATTTCATTCAAAATTTCCTTTGGTTTGCAAGTCCTGAGTCTGCAAGGTATGACAGAAAAGTCCAACGACTTCAAGTGCAGTAGCGTAGGCAGGAAATCGGCAGGGGGGGGGGGGGGGGGGGGGGTGAAGCCAGATAGACACCCTACCAGCTCCACTACCCGGAATTTACATTTTCGGAGAAATGGTCTTGCATCTTGGGTTTGTGGACAGACATCAGACTTTCCTCAAAGTGGTAAAGCTAAAATTGGAATTCCCAAGGAAGGTTGAAATATACCTGTCAGTACTACACCATGGGTGTCAAACTCGAATAAGCTGGGGGCCGGATGGAACCCTTCAGAGGTGGTTGGGGGCCACATTAAAAAATCTTAAAACTAAATTATTAATGCGAACTGGTTTAAACCTCAGCGCTTATTCAAAACCAACTAGTGAAACGGACTTCGCGGGCCGGAAAAAATGAACTAACGGGTTGGATCCGGCCCGCAGGCCGCCAGTTTGACACCCCTGTCCTACACCAAATTGTGCTTGAACCCCAAGTTCTATAATAAAAATAAAAAATAAAAACAAAACAATTTCCATGGAGGTACCCTACGACTGAAACGCAATTGCTTCATATTGAATATCTGAGAGCGCCCAGATAGCATGCTCATACTCTCACGATATAAATCTAATAGGAATTGGCATTACGGCTTATTTCATAAAACTACTGGGAGATGAGTTCAGTCACTAGAGACCAAGTCCCACAAGTAGCTGATACCTTTAGCCTAAGCGTTCGAGTCAAGTTGCACACTCCTGAAGCGTTCGAGTTTCGTTGGTTTCACCTATTAGTGCGCTTGCAGAGTGGATATGAAAGTTAACTC